CTCCCCCCTCAAGCAGGCCCCGTTCGGGAACGGGCGTATTCCGGGTGTCGTACACTACCCAGGTGGTGGCCGACCTCACCTGCCCGCAAATCAGCATGGACCTAGTGGTCAGGTACAGAACCCTAACCCTAACCCTAACCCTGAGCCCAGTGGTGGTGGCCGACCTCACACCTGCAACAGATTAGCAGCATGGACCTAGTGTGTCCAGGTACAGAACCCTAACCCTAACCCTAACCCTAACCCTGAGCCCAGTGGTGGTGGCCGACCTCACACCTGCACACGTACACAGATTAGTAGCATGGACCTAGTGTGTCCAGGTACAGAACCCTAACCCTAACCCTAACCCTAACCCTAACCCTGAGCCCAGTGGTGGTGGCCGACCTCACACCTGCACACGCACAGAGATTAGTAGCATGGACCTAGTGTGTCCAGGTACAGAACGCTGATCTGTCTAAAGAGGAGAGAGCGCTAACCTTCACAGAGAGCTAGGAAACCACAGAAGAGAAGAAGAGGGTCCCTACCTATCAATGAAGTATCCCAGGATGGAGCTGCTTCCCTCCACCGCCGGCTGTTTCCATGTCACCACAACGTAGTCCTTATTGGCGTCATGGCAACGCACGTCAAGGGGCGCCACGGGAACACCTTCCAACTCCACCTCTTCATCTGTGACACACACACGCGTAAATACTTGTACACACACGCGTAAATACTTGTACACACACACACACACACACACACTTGTGAGAACACGCCATAACAGCCAGTGAGACCAATTCTGGCTACATGACATTACAGAGCCTGTAGTCTGTTCACAAGTATCTCCACTGTGTAACATCACGCCCTTAAGACATTACACTACCACTCAGATCACTCCACTGTCTGTCACACATCTATCAAACCCTTTAAATCTGTCCTGTAGTCATTCACTGGGGATATAGTAAGGTCTGCTTTACCTGAAGAAACCTTTCATTTATTAGACTAGCACCCCCCTCTACTCTCCTTTCCTCTCTCTGCAGTGTGTTTCGGTGTGTTGGGTGGAGACTGATATAGAAGCAACATTTCAGGAGATAAAACTGAGACAGAGAGACACATCACTGAGACAGTCACTGGTTAATAATAATAATAATATGCCATTTAGCAGACGCTTTTATCCAAAGCGACTTACAGTCATGCGTGCATACATTTTTGTGTATGGGTGGTCCCGGGGATCGAACCCACTACCCTGGCGTTACAAGCGCCGTGCTCTACCAGCTGAGCTACAGAGGACCACACTGCCATATGAAGTAACCCATTGGTTAACACTGCCATTTGAACAGATCCACTGGTTAACACTGCCATTTGAACAGATCCACTGGTTAACACTGCCATTTGAACAGATCCACTGGTTAACACTGCCATTTGAACGGATACACTGGTTAACACTGCCAATTGAACTGATCCACTGGTTAACACTGCCAATTGAACTGATCTACTGGTTAACACTGCCAATTGAACGGATCCACTGGTTAACACTGCCAATTGAACTGATCCACTGGTTAACACTGCCAATTGAACTGATCCACTGGTTAACACTGCCATTTGAACTGATCCACTGGCCAACACTGCCATTTGAACTGATCCACTGGTTAACACTGCCATTTGAACTGATCCACTGGTTAACACTGCCATTTGAACTGATCCACTGGCCAACACTGCCATTTGAACTAATCCACTGGTTAACACTGCCAATTGAACTGATCTACTGGTTAACACTGACAATTGAACGGATCCACTGGTTAACACTGCCAATTGAACTGATCCACTGGTTAACACTGCCAATTGAACTGATCCACTGGTTAACACTGCCATTTGAACTGATCCACTGGCCAACACTGCCATTTGAACTGATCCACTGGTTAACACTGCCATTTGAACTGATCCACTGGTTAACACTGCCATTTGAACTGATCCACTGGCCAACACTGCCATTTGAACTAATCCACTGGTTAACACTGCCATTTGAACTAATCCACTGGTTAACACTGCCATTTGAACTGATCCACTGGTTAACACTGCCAATTGAACTGATCCACTGGTTAACACTGCCATTTGAACTAATCCACTGGTTAACACTGCCATTTGAACTGATCCACTGGTTAACACTGCCATTTGAACTAATCCACTGGTTAACACTGCCATTTGAACGGATCCACTGGTTAACACTGCCAATTGAACTGATCCACTGGTTAACACTGCCAATTGAACTGATCCACTGGTTAACACTGCCATTTGAACTGATCCACTGGCCAACACTGCCATTTGAACTGATCCACTGGTTAACACTGCCATTTGAACTGATCCACTGGTTAACACTGCCATTTGAACTGATCCACTGGCCAACACTGCCATTTGAACTAATCCACTGGTTAACACTGCCATTTGAACTAATCCACTGGTTAACACTGCCATTTGAACTGATCCACTGGTTAACACTGCCAATTGAACTGATCCACTGGTTAACACTGCCATTTGAACTAATCCACTGGTTAACACTGCCATTTGAACTGATCCACTGGTTAACACTGCCATTTGAACTAATCCACTGGTTAACACTGCCATTTGAACTGATCCACTGGTTAACACTGCCATTTGAACTGATCCACTGGTTAACACTGCCATTTGAACTGATCCACTGGTTAACACTGCCATTTGAACTGATCCACTGCCGTACACATGAATGAAACACATGCTGTAGTTGTACTTCTCCTGATCTCAGTCTTTGGACCAGCGCTCAGCTGGCCTTCAGCCTCATGTCTTCTCACACTGCCATTCCCTTATAATACAAACCTTGTCATGCATTATTGCTTACTTATGGTATGTTATTATAGCCTATGATATCGTACTGTATCATATCGTACTCTTAAGTAAACCATTTCGGGTCATACCTCTGACGAAGATGTAAGCGGAGTGGGTCTGGAAGCCAGACTTGGTGTTAACTCTCAGGGTGTAGAGTCCTTCATCCTCCTTGTTAAGATGGACCAGTGTCAGTGTGGCTTTCTCTCCACTCCAGTGGCTGTGGACCCACTTAGACTCTGACAGGGCCTTGCCTGGGGAGAACACACACATCAGACAGATGGACTCATTACTTCACAAAGATAAAGCACAGGACAGTGTGAAAGGTCTTTGGGTGCTGTAGGTCCAAGAACAGCTCAGCACAGCAACTCTCTGTGTGTGTGTGTGTGTGTGTGTGTGTGTGTGTGTGTGTGTGTGTGTGTGTGTGTGTGTGTGTGTGTGTGTGTGTGTGTGTGTGTGTGCATGCGCGTCCTACCTCTGTATTTTGTTCTAATTTTTGACTCGTTTCAGGAATCTAGGCGTATGTCACTACTTCACAGGAGAGGCATTTGAACATAAACATTAATTTTTTATCAAAATGCGTTTTTGGGCATAAATGCCTTCTGGAACGTGAACTTTCATGTGTCTTAATAACAAACTTGTATTCCATCCCTAAACACAAATAAAATTGTTAAATTACAGGAACCTTCCCGCTAGCCATGATTGGCTGAGATAATGGATGGGCTGGACATCCCGGGAGATGAGTTTGGATTGGTCTGCCATGTAGCATGCTTCTCTCGATAACGTGAGCTGCTCAGTATTTGTTGATAGTCCTTTCTACCGCGCCATTTTTGAAAGATATAACGTTAGCCATCGGGATCTACAAAAGTTTTGCTACTTTTCTCAACAACATTGATACCCTGAATTTAGCAAGCGCTATCAACAGATCAGTTGGAAAAAGGGATGGGCTACTTTCTGCACACGCCATGGTCAGTGTGAACCGGAGTGACTTGACACAACGCCAAACAAGATGTAGCTACAAACAAAACAGAGTTAAATGGGTCCAGTCTGCCGTGTAAGCGTTCATCCATATATACGGGTAAGAGTCTAGCTACATTTTTAGATATGATACTGTTTAAATTTTGTCAGAAAGTTGTTTTCATTGTAAGTTAAAGCATACTGAGTTAGCTAGTGAATGTTAGCTTGCTGGCTCGCTAGCTAACATTACATGTATGATCTAAGTAATCCTTCTACCCCCCCCAAAAAACAAAAAAACACTGGCTATAAGGTCAATGCACCAATTTGTAAGTCACTCTGGATAAGAGCGTCTGCTAAATGACGTAAATGTAAAATGATCTGTATAGTAATATTATTCCAATCAGAAAAAACCATTTGCATTGCTAGTTATAGCCCAGTACTAACCCTAGGAAGCTCTTTGCCACATTCTCCTCACTGCTGAACGCCCCCCCCCCCCCCCCCCCCCCCCCCCCTCCTCCCTCTCTGTGGATGACTTCGTCAACCACTTTGAAAAGAAGGTTGACGACATCCGATCCTCGTTTGTTAAGTCTAATGACACTGTTGTTAAGTCTAATGCTCACACTGCCCTACCCTATGCTTTGACTTCTTTCTCCCCTCTCTCTCCAGATAAAATCTTGCGACTAGTGACTGCAGGCCGCCCAACAACCTGCCCGCTTGACCCCATCCCCTCCTCTCTTCTCCAGACCATCTCCGGTGACCTTCTCCCCTACCTCACCTCGCTCATCAACTCATCCTTGACCGCTGGCCATGTCCCTTCCGTCTTCAAGAGAGCGAGAGTTGCACCCCTTCTCAAAAAACCAACACTCGATCCCACTGATGTCAACAACTACAGACCAGTATCCCTTCTTTCTTTCCTTTCCAAAACTATTGAGCGTGCCGTCTTTAGCCAACTCTCTTGCTATCTCTCTCAGAATGACCTTCTTGATCCAAACCAGTCAGGTTTCAGAACTGGTCATTCAACTGAGACTGCTCTTCTCTGTGTCACGGAGGCTCTCCGCACTGCTAAAGCTAACTTTCTCTCCTCTGCTCTTGTCCTTCTAGACCTGTCTGCTGCCTTTGATACAGTGAACCATCAGATCCTCCTCTCCACCCTCTCCGAGCTGGGCATCTCCGGCGCGGCTCACTCCTGGATTGCGTCCTACCTGACCGGTCGCTCCTACCAAGTGGCGTGGCGAGAAGCTGTCTCCGCACCACGTGCTCTCACCACTGGTGTCCCCCAGGGCTCAGTTCTAGGCCCTCTCCTATTCTCGCTATACACCAAGTCACTTGGCTCTGTCATATCCTCACATGGCCTCTCCTATCATTGCTACGCTGACGATACACAACTAATCTTCTCCTTTCCCCCTTCTGATAACCAGGTGGCGAATCGCATCTCTGCATGTCTGGCCAACATATCAGCATGGATGACGGATCACCACCTCAAGCTGAACCCTGGCAAGACGGAGCTGCTCTTCCTCCCGGGGAAGGACTGCCCGTTCCATGATCTCGCCATCACGGTTGACAACTCCGTTGTGTCCTCCTCCCAGAGCGCGAAGAGCCTTGGCGTGACCCTGGACAACACCCTGTCGTTCTCCGCTAACATCAAGGCGGTGACCCGATCCTGCAGGTTCATGCTCTACAACATTCGGAGAGTACGACCCTGCCTTACACAGGAAGCGGCACAGGTCCTAATCCAGGCACTTGTCATCTTCCGTCTGGATTACTGCAACTCGCTGTTGGCTGGGCTCCCTGCCTGTGCCATTAAACCCCTACAACTCATCCAGAATGCCGCAGCCCGTCTGGTGTTCAACCTTCCCAAGTTCTCTCACGTCACCCCCCCTCCTCCGCACACTCCACTGGCTTCCAGTTGAAGCTCGCATCCGTTACAAGACCATGGTGCTTGCCTATGGAGCAGTGAGGGGAACGGCACCTCCGTACCTTCAGGCTCTGATCAGTCCCTACACCCAAACGAGGGCATTGCGTTCATCCACCTCTGGCCTGCTGGCTTCCCTTCCTCTGCGGAAGCATAGTTCCCGCTCAGCCCAGTCAAAACTGTTCGCTGCTCTGGCACCCCAATGGTGGAACAAGCTCCCTCACGACGCCAGGACAGCGGAGTCACTCACCACCTTCCGGAGACATTTGAAACCCCACCTCTTTAAGGAACACCTGGGATAGGATAAAGTAATCCTTCTACCCTTCCCCCCCCCCCAAAAAAAAATAAATAAATAAAAATAAATAAATAAATAAGTATAATTGTAAAGTGGTTATCCCACTGGCTATAGGGTGAATGCACCAATTTGTAGTCGCTCTGGTTAAGAGCGTCTGCTAAATGACGTAAATGTGCCCTTGAGCAAGGCACTTAACCCTAATTGCTCCTGTAAGTCGCTCTGGATAAGAGCGTCTGCTAAATGACTAAAATGTAAATGTAAATGTACAGCTATGACAATGTTTGTATTGGTAGTAGAATGAGTTGGGATTATGCCGGTTCATTGTTTAGCTAGCTAGCTAGCTACATGTCTAAACAAAAGACTCCACTTCGCCAGATGATTACATGACCCATCAAGTTAGCCAGGTGTGTCTGGGGGTGATTATGGCCAAGTAACCATTTCACTGTACCGTTTACACCTTCTGTATCCTGTGAAAGTGACAAATAAACATAGATTTTATTTGATATATTGTTTGTTTTACCAGAGAAGGTAATGTGAGGAACAACATGACCTGCACCAAAGTCAGATTAGGATATAGGCCAAGGACTAGATGAAGTGTATTTTTACCTGGAATTGTTCCTTATTGTAGGCGACTACTTTTATCACTTTTTAAATATTTGGTTGTTTACTACTCTTCTCACTCTGTTCAGCACATGACCTCACATGAGTCCTTAAAGAGATGGGTGGGGCTAAAGCTTAAGAGGGTGTGAACGATACTGAATGGGTGTAGACAAAGAAGAGCTCTCCAGTAGGTGTACCAAAACATTTAAGGGCCATTTTCTCAAAAGTGAGGTTACAAGTTTATCAACTTTCAAAGCAGAATTACTTTCCCTTGTTCTTCAACTGCGGTGTATGATATACCATTTTCTAGCTCTGAGTCGGTACTTTTATCCAATGTAAAAAACACAATTTCAAAATGTTGCTACATAAGACCAAATCAAAGCGGTCGGTCACATTTGAAAAATATATAAAGTAATACAAATATATATTTTGTACACAATAAAGAAAATCAATTACGGGTCAACAACTAAATATTCCTACCAGCGTTGATCAAAGCTCAGAACGCTTATATACTTGATTTGACTGAGTACTCATTGAGCCTGCCTCTTTGTGAACGAGTGGAATCACGAACAGGTTTGTTCATTATGTCACCATTATTTGCCTCCTGATTTGCCTTTTAGCAGCACATTCACCTCTCTCTCAAATGGTTAACTCCGCCCTCTCGTGGCACAGGCTGAGGGCCTGAGACGTGAAAGGAAATACCCCAGCTCGTGGTCGGCTCAAGTAGGCAATAGAGACGCTACTGACAGTGTGTTTTGCGAGATGTCGGACAAAAGGTTATTTTAAAACCGCCCGCGACTTCTATCGTGTCTACAGATATCCCCCAAGCAAACGAAAACCGACTCTCGGAGAATGAGTGAACAACTGGTAAATAATTGCTTATAGATATGTCAGTCAGTCAGGTGGCTAGCTGCCGGCAGAGACGTCTATCGCAGTAACGTTGAAGGCTCTGGCTAGCATTACTAAGCCAGCTAGAAGAATGACGTAAGAAGCTAACATTAAACAGAGCCTACCTCAACAGCAGCAAAAAATAGGCTACTAAGTTCTCATAACTTTGCTTTACAGAGAGTAGGCTACTGAAACAGTGATGTGGTGCTCAGTGGTAAAGCTGAGGCAGAATGCAATGCATGCAGGAGGAAGCAGAGGAGAGAGAGAGGTTAGTACAGTGGTTCCAAAACTTGGGGTTGTGGCCCCATGTGTCCCCTGAGAAAATCTGTACTAATCTTATCAAACAAGTTACAAACTTCAAAAAATAACATATGTTTCAATATGAACATCTCCACAGGCCTATCTTCCCTATAGACCGACATTAAAATACCATTCTAATGTTATACCCCTGAAAGAGGGGGAAAAATTAGAAATGATTCACACCGACACGTAGCATCAGTGAAGAAACGAAAACATATAACATTTTTAGAACTGTATTGTTTGCATGTTAATTGAATTTTAATGTAACCTATAGGGAAGATAGGTCCTGTGACGATGTTTCAATATGAACATCTCCACAGGACCTATCTTCCCCATAGGCCTACATTAAAATACAACCACTGTATGTTTCAATATGAACATCTCCACAGGACCTATCTTCCCTATAGGCCTACATTAAAATACAACCAGTGTATGTTTCAATATGAACATCTCCACAGGATCTATCTTCCCTATAGGCCGACATTAAAATACAACCACTGTGTGTTTCAATATGAACATCTCCACAGGATCTTTCAGGGGAATAACATTAGAATTGTATAACTAATAGGCTATGTGTGACTGAGGTGAATGGACCTACAGCAGCCAAGGTGATAATGGCTGGAGTCATTTTTGCTTGTTTTTGCTGTTCTCCAAATAGAATTTAAAGTTGTTTAATTGTATATAAATGAAGTAGGTTAGGGCCCTGTGTTTGTGTTGCTACCCACCATCTCTGTACCAGAGGACATCAGGCTGGTAGCGTTTAACGGTTGGGTAGACGATGACGGTGCAGCCCAGACTCAGAGTCTCTCCCTCCCGGCCGAACGCCACCTCAAACGAGTCTATGATGGCTGTCTCAAAGGTCACGCCGTGCTCCGAGCAGAACCCATCTGAAAGAGAGACAGACAGACAGATGACGAACAACAGAGTGCTCTACAGAACTAAGACAACAGTCATACTGAACTATACCATGATACCTCTACAGCATATAGAGAGACAGACAGGAGCCAGATTTCAGACTAGACTCACATGGTTTAGGGTTAGGGTTGACACCTCTACAGGATATAGAGACAGACAGGAGCCAGATTTAGACTCACGTGGTTTAGGGTTAGGGTTAGGGTTAGGGTTAGGGTTAGGGTTAGGGTTGACGACAGGAGCCAGATTTAGACTCACGTGGTTTAGCATCAAGAGGTCCCACTTTATCTCCCTCCTGGAACCCTGGTGGAGATTTAAATGCTATGCAAATTAATATGAATAACACATATTTGATTCAGGAAGTTGAGCTCAATATAAACAAAGATTTAGAGATACAGAAGAGATGTAAAAACAGGATATGAGAGGAGGAGAACATACTCTTGATGACCACGGTGGCAACGGAGGAGCTCTCTCCCTTTATGTTGAGAGCAGACACATGGTACTGAGCCGTGTCCAGGAAGTCACAGCTACAAGCAGAACACAGACATTACAAAACCACCACAACAACCACAACACAGCCCTGTCTGATATACCTTACAGGGTTACGGTTACTATAGCTACTACAGCTACCTACCTCCTGATCTCCAGAGAGTGTTGTCAGGGTTACTATAGCTACCTACCTCTTGATCTCCAGAGAGTGTTGTCAGGTTACTATAGCTACCTACCTCTTGATCTACAGAGAGTGTTGTCAGGTTACTATAGCTACCTACCTCCTGATCTACAGAGAGTGTTGTCAGGGTTACTATAGCTACCTACCTCTTGATCTACAGAGAGTGTTGTCAGGGTTACTATAGCTACCTACCTCCTGATCTCCAGAGAGTGTTGTCAGGGTTACTATAGCTACCTACCTCTTGATCTACAGAGAGTGTTGTCAGGTTACTATAGCTACCTACCTCCTGATCTACATAAAGTGTTGTCAGGTTACTATAGCTACCTACCTCCTGATCTTCAGAGAGTGTTGTCAGGTTACTATAGCTACCTACCTCCTGATCTACAGAGAGTGTTGTCAGGGTTACTATAGCTACCTACCTCTTGATCTCCAGAGAGTGTTGTCAGGGTTACTATAGCTACCTACTTCTTGATCTCCAGAGAGTGTTGTGAGGGTTACTATAGCTACCTACCTCTTGATCTTCAGAGAGTGTTGTCAGGTTACTATAGCTACCTACCTCTTGATCTACAGAGAGTGTTGTCAGGGTTACTATAGCTACCTACCTCTTGATCTCCAGAGAGTGCATGTTGTAGTTGCTCTCTGCTGCGTACTTGTCAGGATTGGCCTTCTCATCTATAATCACATTGTTCTTATACCTGATGGAGGGAGTGAGAGAAGACATTGTTTTCAGAAGAACAGAAAAGGAGAAGATCTCTGTGCTAGAGAGGCTTGACTCTTGAAGAGAACTGCTTGACGTATTATACACTGAGTGTACAAAACATTAGGAATACCTTCGTAATATTGAGTTGCACCCCATTTTGCCCTCAGAGCAGCCTCAATTCATTGCGGCATGGACAATAGAAGGTGTTGAAAGCGTTCCACAGGGATGCTGGCCCACATTGACTCCATTGCATCCCAGACTCTATCCCATATGACTTCAAATTGTGTTATGTTGTTTCTGTCTGTAGCCAGAATGGTATATATTTTGTGGTCCACTTCAAGGATTGCTGTAGATCATGAGTTATCATTTTTATTTTTATTATTAACATTTTTTTTTTTTATCTAAGTAAATTTTAAGGGGGGTATTGAGTTTTCAATATTAGTCAGGTATATCAGGAGATCGTCGGCAATAAAGTTTAGTTTATATTACCAATACTGATACCTGTTACGTTTGGGTCCTGTCTAATTCTTTCTGCAAGCGGTTCAATTGCCAGTGCAAACAGGAGGGGGGCGAGAGGACACCCCTGTCTTGTGCCCCTTTCTAAAGCAATTTCAGCAAATAATGTACAGTATTATTTGTGTATACTGTACTGCGTTTTTACTTAAGGATGTTTATATAATATTTTCATGAAATGTATTATTTCAGCTGGAAAGTTTAATCCTTCCAAAATGTTGAATAGAAAACGCCACTAAAGATGGTGGAAAGCCTTTTTGGCATCAACAGCCATTATTGATGAATCTACATCTTGTTTTTTAGCGTACTGTATTATACTGAAACATGTTCTTGTATTTGATATTCAATAAAATACCACAAAATAATGCCACGGAATTCTAAGCAAATCTTGTCTGCTAAATGAACTAGTGTAGCCTACAGCCATATGGCATAGCCAGATCAGGACCTAACATAAGGACAACTAAGTATGTTATTCTGTTCTTCTGAAACAGACTACATTTTCTTCATATCAAGTTTCTTTAGACCTGTCTAAAATAAATAATGGATTTATTGTAAAGTTGTAGACTACAGTATATTACCTGGATTTATTAGACTTTTTCAAATGTAGATGTTCCAAAGGTCTGCATCAGGACTGCACTACTACGCCATCTTGGATTCGATGTTCCAAAGGTCTGCATCAGGACTGCACTACTACGCCATCTTGGATTCGATGTTCCAAAGGTCTGCATCAGGACTGCACTACTACGCCATCTTGGATTCGATGTTCCAAAGGTCTGCATCAGCGGCTTGTAGGAAGCCAGGAGATGCTAAATTTGTTTATGTTAATTGACGGTCAATTACCGTGAGACCGGCAGTTATTTGCTTGACAACCTTGACGAAATTTCGTGACCGCCAGAGCCCTACTCAGGATATATGGTTTCCAGTTCGCACAAAGTCCAATGTAGTTCCTTGAGAGCCGTCGTGGTGTCGGCTTGGGGGGGAAATATACACAGGCGTGACAATGGGAGGTAATGCTGTCTGCATTTGATGGTGAGGTATTTAGTATTTTGCATTTATTATGGATTTATTGTGTAATAGCAGCAGAGGGGATGGCTGCCGTTTTATGGACTCTTAAACCAACCGTGATATTTTGTTTGTTTTTTCGCATTGTTTGTAACTTATTTTGTACATAATGTTGCTGCTACCGTCTCATATGACCGAAAAGAGCTTCTGGACATCAAAACAGAGATTACTCACCTTGAACTGGACAAATAATTTTTCTCTAATGAGTCGGACGAGAGGGATTTGCTCCAGACAACCGACAGGGCCCTAATCCCAGTCATTCGCAGGAGAAAGAGACGGAGATATCGCGGAAGGAGATCGGGGTGCCTGATAAGAAGCCGGCGCCGAGTGGCTAACCTGCTTTGCCATCGGTACTATTGGCCAACGTACAATCTCTGGATAATAAAGTGGATGAACTAAAAGCATGTACAGTTGAAGGCGGAAGTTTTCATACACCTTAGCCAAATACATTTAAACTCAGTTTTTCACAATTCCTGACATTTAATCCTAGTAAAAAATCCCTGTCTTAGGTCAGTTAGGATCACCACTTTATTTTAAGAATGTGAAATGTCAGAATAATAGTAGAGAGAATGATTTATTTCAGCTTTTATTCCTTTCATCACATTCCCAGTGGGTCAGAAGTTTACATACACTCAATTAGTATTTGGTAGCATTGCATTTAAATTGTTTAACTTATGTCAAACATGTCGGGTAGCCTTCCACAAGCTTCCCACAATAAGTTGGGTGAATTTTGGCCCATTCCTCCTGACAGAGCTGGTGTAACTGAGTCAGGTTTGTAGGCCTCCTTGCTTGCACACGCTTTTTCAGTTCTGCCCACACATTTTCTATAGGATTGAGATTAGGGCTTTGTGATGGCCACTCCAATACCTTGACTTTGTTGTCCTTAAGCCATTTTGCCACAACTTTGGAATTATGCTTGGGGTCATTGTCCATTTGGAAGACTCATTTGCGACCAAGCTTTAACTTCCTGACTGATGTCTTGAGATGTTGCTTCAATATAGCCACATAATTTTCCTTCCTCATGATGCCATCTATTTTGTGAAGTGCACCAGTCCCTCCTGCAGCAAAGCACCCCCACAGTATGATGCTGCCACCCCCGTGCTTCACGGTTGGGATGGTGTTCTTTGGCTTGCAAGCAACCGCCTTTTTCCTCCAAACATAACAATGGTCATTATGGCCAAACAGTTCTATTTTTGTTTCATCAGACCAGAGGACATTTCTCCAAAAAGTACGATCTTTGTCCCCATGTGTAGTTGCAAACCATAGTCTGACTTTTTTATGACGGTTTTGGAGCAGTGGCTTCTTCTTTGCTGAGCGGCCTTTCAGGTTATGTCGATATAGGACTCGTTTTACTGTGGATATAGATACTTTTGTACCTGTTTCCTCCAGCATCTTCACAAGGTCCTTTGCTGTTGTTCTGGGATTGATTTGCACGTTTCGCACCAAAGTACATTCATCTCTAGGAGACAGAACGCGTCTCCTTCCTGAACGGTATGACGGCTGCGTGGTCCCATGGTGTTTATACTTGTGTACTATTGTTTGTACAGATAAACGTGGTACCTTCAGGTGTTTGGATATTGCTCCCAAGGATGAACCAGACTTGTGGAGGTCTACCATTTTTTTATGAGGTCTTGGCTGATTTCTTTTGATTTTCCCACATTATCAAGCAAAGAGGCACTGAGTTTGAAGGTAGGCCTTGAAATACATCCACAGGTACACCTCCAATTGACTCAAATGATGAAATAAAAAAAAAAAATTACATAATTTTCTGGAATTTTCCAAGCTGTTTAAAGGCACAGTCAACTTAGTGTATGTAAACTTCTGACCCACTGGAATTTTGATACAGTGAATTATAAATTAAATAATCTGTCTGTAAACAATTGTTGGAAAAATTACTTGTGTCATGCACAAAGTAGATGTCCTAACCGACTTGCCAAAACTATAGTTTGTTAACAAGAAATTTGTGGAGTGGTTGAAAAACGAGTTTTAATGACTCCAACCTAAGTGTATGTAAACTTCCGACTTCAACTGTATATCCTACTAACGGGACATTAAAAACTGTAAAATCTTATGTTTCACCGAGTCGTGGCTGAACGACGACATGAATAACATACAGATGGCGGGTTATACACTGTATCGGCAGGACAGAACAGCAGCCTCTGGTAAGACAAGGAGTGGCGGTCTATGTATATTTGTAAACAACAGCTGGTGCACGATATCTAAGGAAGTCTCAAGGTTTTGCTCACTTGACGTAGAGTAGCTCATGATAAGCTGTAGACCACACTAACTACCAAGAGAGTTCTCATCTATATTCTTCATAGCTGTCTATTTACCACCACAAACCGATGCTGGCACTAAGACTGCACTCAATGAGCTGTATTCGGCCATAAGCAAACAGGAAAATGCTCATCCAAAGGCAGCGCTCCTAGTGGCCAGGGACTTTGATGCAGGGAAACTTAAATCCGTTTTACATCATTTCTACCAGCATGTTAAATGTGCAACCAAAGGGAAGAAAACTCTAGACCACCTTTACTCCACACACAGAGACGCGTACAAAGCTCTCCCTCGCCCTCCATTTGGCAAATCTGACCATAATTCTATCCTCCTGATTCCTGCTTACAAGCAAAAACTAAAGCAGGAAGCACCAGTGACTCGGTCAATAGAAAAGTGGTCAGATGAAGTAGATGCTAAGCTACAGGACTATTCCGAGATTCTTCCGATGGCATTGAGGAGTACACCACATCAGTCACTGGCTTCATCAATAAGCGCATCGATGATGTCATCACAACAGTGACTGTACATACATATCCCAACCAGAAGCCATGGATTATAGGCAACATCCGCACTGAGCTAAAGATTGGACCTGCCGCTTTCAAGGACAGGACTAAGATCGAATCGTACTACACCGGTTCCGAGGGATGTGCAAGGGCTTGCAAACTATTACAGACTACAAAGGGAAGCACAGCCGCGAGCTGCCCAGTGACACAAGCCTACCAGACGAGCTAAAATACTTCTATGCTCGCTTCGAGGCAAGCAACACTGAAGCATGCATGAGAGCATCAGCTGTTCCGGACGACTAGGTGATCACGCTCTCCGTAGCCGATGTGAGTAAGACCTTTAAATAGGTCAACATTCACAAGGCCGCAGGGCCAGACGGATTACCAGGACGTGTACTCCGAGCATGCGCTGACCAACTGGCAAGTGTCTTCACTGACATTTTCAACCTCTCCCTGCCTGAGTCTGTAATACCAACATGTTTCAAGCAGACCACCATAGTCCCTGTGCCCAAGAACACTAAGGTAACCTGCCTAAATTACTACAGACCCGTAGCACTCACGTCTGTAGCCATGAAGTGCTTTGAATGGCTGGTCATTGCTCAAATCAACACCATTATCCCAGAAACCCTAGACCCACTCCAATTTACATATCGCCCCAACAGATCCACAGATGATGCACTCTCTATTGCACTCCACACTGCCCTTTCCCACCTGGACAAAAGGAACAACTATGTGAGAATGCTATTCATTGACTAAAGCTCAGCGTTCAACACCATAGTGCCCTCAAAGCTCATCACCAAGCTTAGGACCCTGGGACTAAACACCTCCATCTGCAACTGGATCCTGGACTTCCTGACGTCCATCCCCAGGTGGTAAGGGTAGGTAACAACACATCCACCATGCTGATCCTCAGTCCCCTCCTGTACTACCTGTTCACTCATGAATGTATGGCCAGGCACGACTCCAACACCAACATGTCAATACCTCTCACAAATACAAGTAGTGATGAAGTCCATCTCTCCTCCACTTTGAGCCAGGAGAGATTGACATGCATATTATTAATGTTTGCTCTCTGTGTACATCCAAGGGCCAGACGTGCTGCCCTGTTCTGAGCCAATTGCAATTTTCCTAAGTCCGTCTTTGTGGCACCTGACCACACGACTGAACAGTAGTCCAGGTGCGACAAAACTAGGGCCTGTAGGACCTGTCTGTGTGTCTGTAGTGCTGTTTAGAAGGTAGAGCAGCGCTTTATTATGGATAAACTTCTCCCCATCTTAGCTACTGTTGTATTAATATGTTTTGACCATGACAGTTTACAATCCAGGGTTACTCCAAACAGTTTAGTCACCTCAACATGCTCAATTTCCACATTATTTATTATAAGAATTCTTTGAGGTTTAGGGTTTAGTGAACGATTTGTCCCAAATACAATGCTTTTAGTTTTTGAAATATTTAGGACTAACTTATTCCTTGCCACCCATTCTTAAACTAACTGCAGCTCAATGTTAAGTGTTACAGTCATTTAAGTCACTGTAGTAGCTGACGTGTATAGTTTTGAGTCAACCGCATACATAGACACCCTGGCTTTACGCAAAGCCAGTGGCATGTCGTTAGTAAAGATTGAAAAGGGTAAGGGGCCTAGACATCTGCCCTGGGGAATTCCTAAATCTACCTGGATTATGTTGGAGAGGCTTCCATTAAATAATACCCTCTGTGTTCTGTTATTAACAATTGGTGGCTGACTAAATACTTTTTTCCCCCACTGTATGCCGATAGTGGACAACCTTGTTTTACATAGACAGAAATAGACACTCTGGCTTTACTCAAAGCCAGTAGCATGTCATTAATAAAGATTTTAAAAAGTAAGGGGCCTAGACAGCTGCCCTGGGGAATTCCTGATTCTACCTGGATTATGTTGGAGAGGCTTTCATTAAAAAACGCTCTCTGTGTTCTGCTAAACAGGTAACTCTATCCACAATATAGCAGGGGATGTAAAGCCATAACACATACGTTTTTCCAGTAGCAGATTATGATCGATAATGTCAAAAGCCGCACAGAAGTCTAACAAAACAGCCTTTTTATCATCGATTTCTCTCAGCCAATCATCAGTCATTTGTGTAAGTGCTGTGATTATTGAATGTCCTTCCCTATAAGCGTGCTGAAAGTCTGTTGTCAATTTGTTTGTGTTACGGTCCGGCTCTGTTGGTCCTGTTCCTGTTGGTGTTCCTTTCCCTTTTCTCCCCTGTGTGTGTTGTTTGTGTCTGTCTCCCCCTGCTGTGCAGTCAGAGGTTCTAGGTCAGCGGGCGTGGCCTTTCTATCATCAGATCAGTTGCATCAAGCTGCAGCTCATTGGCACCAATCAAGCAGCAGATATCTACCCGGGCTGGACACCTCTCCAGCGCCAGTTCGTTCCTACACTTCCAGTGGTAACTTGGCCCGTACAGCACTCTCAGTGTAGTTGTACTCTCTCAGTATTATTGTTGTTCCTGCCACGTTTTGTAACCTGTCTCTCCTTCGACCAGATCTCGTCTGTTCCTGCTGCCTGCTTGCCTGCCTGCCTGCCTGCCATTCCCACGCCGCTACCTGCTCCTCTGTTGCCTGATATCCTCGTTATCCAGCTCTCAGGACTACTGGCTCTCCACTCCACTCAGCTCCTACCCCAGCCTGAAGCTATTCCACCCTGACTACCTACCTCTGCCTATACACGTTGAATAAACTACATCCTAATTTTACTCTCTTTGTCCGTGTGTCCGTCTCTGCACCTGAGTCCCCCACCCAACCTAACAGTTTGCTGTAAAATAGCATTTTATCTGGTCAAACAATTTTTTCCAAAACTTTATTAAGGGTTGGTAACATGCTGATTGCTCGGCTATTTGAGCCAGTAAAGGGGGCTTTACTATTCTTAGGTAGAGGAATGACTTTTGCAATCCTTCCAGGCCTGAGGGCAAACACTTTCTAGGAGGCTTAATTTGAAGATATGGCCAATAGGAGTGGCAATATCGTCCGCTATTATCCTCAGTAATTTTCCATCCAAGTTGTCAGATCCTGGTGGCTTGTCATTGTTGATAGACAATCATTATTTCACCTCTTCCACACTCACTTTACGGAATTCAAAATTACAATTCTTGTCATTCATAATTTGGTCAGATATACTTGGATGTGTAGTGTCAGCGTTTGTTGCTGGCATGTCATGCTTAAGCTTGCTAATCTTGCCAATGAAAAAATAATTGAAGTAGTTGGCAATATCAGTTGGTTTTGTGATGAATGAGCCATCTGATTCAATGAATGATGGAGCTGAGTTTGCCTTTTTTCCCAAATTTCCAAAGCTTTTTACTATTTATCATCATCATCATCTTTATGTAATTTATTTATTTTTGTTTCTTCTTATTTTTATTCAGTTTAGTCACATTATTTCTCAATTTGCAGTACGTTTGCCAATCGGTTGTGCAGCCAGACTTATTTGCCATTCCTTTCGCCTCATCAACCATACCATTTTTCAATTCCTCATCAATCCAAATCAGATTAAATGTTATTTGTCACATGCGCCGAATAGAACAGGTGTAGATCTTACCGTGAAATGCTTACTGACAAGCCCTTAACCAACAATGCAATTTTAAGAGTTAAGAAAATATTTACTAAATTAAATAATAAAAAATAAAAAGTAACAATAACGAGACTATATACAGGGGGTACCGGTACCGAGTCAATGTGCTGGGGTACAGGTTAGTCAGTCGAGGTAATTTGTACATGTAGGTAGGGGTAAAGTGACTATGCATAGATAATAAACAACGAGTAGCAGCTGTGGGGGGGGGGGGGGGGGGGGGGGTCAATGTAAATAGCGGTGATACCAGGTGGTGATGCAACCGGTCAGGATGCTCTCGATGGTGCAGCTGTAGAACTTTTTGATGATCTGGGGACCCATGCCAAATGTTTTCAGTCTCCTGAGGGGGAAAAGGCATAGTCGTGCCCTTTTCACGACTGTCTTGGTGTGTTTGGAACATGATAGTTTGTTGGTGATGTGGACACCAAGAAACTTGAAACTCTCGACCCGCTCGACTACAGCCCCGTCGATGTGAATGGGGGTGTGTTTGGCCCTCCTTTTCCTGTAGTTCACGATCAGCTCCTTTGTCTTGTTCACGTTGAGGGAGAGGTTGTTGTCCTGGCACCACACGGCCCGGTCTTTGACCTCCTTCCTATAGGCTGGCTCATCATTGTCGGTGATCAAACTTAAAGGTGGTGTTGGAGTCATGCCTGGCCACGCAGTCGTGGGTGAATAGTACAGGAGGGGACAGAGCACGCACCCCTGAGGGGCCCCCGTGTTGAGGATCAGTGTGGCAGATGTGTTGTTACTTACCCTTACCACCTGGGGGCGGCCCGTCAGGAAGTCCAGGATCCAGTTGCAGAGGGAGGTGTTTAGTCCCAGGATCCTTAGCTTAGTGATGAGCTTTGAGTGCACTATGGGGTTGAACTCTGAGCTGTAGTCAATGAACAGCATTCTCACATACAGTAGGTGTTCCTTTTGTCCATGTGGGAAAGGGCAGTGTGGAGTGCAATAGAGATTGCATCATCTGTGGATCTGTTGGGGCGGTATGCAAATTGGAGTGGGTCTAGGGCGGTAGCAGAGAGAACAGTCTATGACTAGGGTGGCTGGAGTCTTTGACAATTTTGAGGGCCTTCCTCTGACACTTATGGACGTGAGTGCTATGGGTCGGTAGTCATTTAGGCAGGTTACCTTCGCTTTCTTGGGCACAGGGACTATGGTGGTCTGCTTGAAACATGTAGTTATTACAGACTCGGTCAGGGAGAGGTTGAAAATGTCAGTGAAGACACTTGCCAGTTGGTCTGCGCATGCTCTGAGTACAGTCGTGGTCAAAAGTTTTGAGAATGACAAGTATTGGTCTGCACAAAGTTTGCTGCTTCAGTGTTTTTAGATATTTTTGTCAGATGTTACTATGGTATACTGAAGTATAATTACAAGCAATTTGTAAGTCGCTCTGGATAAGAGCATCTGCTAAATGACATAAATGTAAATGTAAATTCCATAAGTGTCAAAGGCTTTTATTGACAATTACATGAAGTTTATGCAAAGAGTCAATATTTGCAGTGTTGACCCTTCTTTTTCAAGACCTCTGCAATCCGCACTGGCATGCTGTCAATTAACTTCTGGGCCACATCCTGACTGATGGCAGCCCTTTCTTGCATAATCAATGCTTGGAGTTTGTCAGAATTTATGGGTTTTTGTTTGTCCACCCGCCTCTTGAGGATTGACCACAAGTTCTCAATGGGATTAAGGTCTGGGGATTTTCTGGCCATGGACCCAAAATGTCGATGTTTTGTTCCCCGAGCCACTTAGTTATCACTTTTGCCTTATGGCAAGGTGCTCCATCATGCTGGAAAAGGCATTGTTCGTCACCAAACTGTTCTTGGATGGTTGGGAGAAGTTGCTCTCAGAGGATATGTTGGTACCATTCTTTATTCATAGCTGTGTTCTCTGCTAAAATTGTGAGTGAGCCCACTCCCTTGGCTGAGAAGCAACCCCACACATGAATGGTCTCAGGATGCTTTACTGTTGGCATGACACAGGACTGATGGTAGCGCTCACCTTGTCTTCTCGGAACAAGGTGTTTTCCGGATGCCCCAAACAATCGGAAAGGAGATTCATCAGAGAAAATGACTTTACCCCAGTCCTCAGCTGTCCAATCCCTGTACCTTTTGCAGAATATCAGTCTGTCCCTGATGTTTTTCCTGGAGAGAAGTGGCTTCCTCACTGCCCTTCTTGACACCAGGCCATCCTCCAAAAGTCTTTGTCTCACTGTGCGTGCAGATGCACTCACACCTGCCTGCTGCTCTGCACTGGTGGTGCCCCGATCCCGCAGCTGAATAAACTTTAGGAGACGGTCCTGGCGCTTGCTGGACTTTCTTGGGCACCCTGAAGCCTTCTTCACAACAATTGAACCTCTCTCCTTGAAGTTCTTGATGATCCGATAAATGGTTGATTTAGGTGCAATCTTACTAGCAGCAATATCCTTGCCTGTGAAGCCCTTTTTGTGCAAAGCAATGATGACGGCACGTGTTTCCTTGCAGGTAACCATGGTTAACAGAGGAAGAACAATGATTTCAAGCACCACCCTCCTTTAAAAGCTTCCAGTCTGTTATTCTAACTCAATCAGCATGACAGAGTGATCTCCAGCCTTGTCCTCGTCAACACTCACTTGTGTTAACGAGAGAATCACTGACATGATGGCAGCTGGTCCTTTTGTGGCAGGGCTGAAATGCAGTGGAAATGTTTTTCTGGGATTAAGTTCATTTTTCATGGCAAAGAGGGACTTTGCAATTAATTGTAATTTATCTGATCACTCTTCATAACATTCTGAAGTATATGCAAATTGGCATCATAAAAACTGAGGCAGCAGACTTTGTGAAAATTAATATTTGTGTCATTCTCAAAACTTTTGACCACGACTGTACACGTCCTGGTAATCCGTTTGGCCCTGCAGCCTTGTGAATGTTGACCTGTTTAAAGGTCTTGCTCACATCAGCTACGGAGAGCGTGATCACACAGTCATCCAGAACAGCTAGTGCTCTCATGCATGCTTCAGAGTTTTTTGCCTCATAGCGATTAGCATTGGTACTCGGTCCTGGCAGATCGTCGGGTCAGTACAAGTTTGCAAGCCTGCACATCCGACGGCAGAGCTGTTCAGTGCATAATCTTAGTATGTTGCGATTGCCGTTGTGGTTTGTAGTTAATTTACCGTCATTTAGCAAAGTCTTACCAGAGGACTTACAGTTAGAATATATTTTTTTTTTTATACTGCCCCGTGGATCGACAAACCCGCGTTGCAGCCAGCTGGTGTGAGTACATCCTGCCGGCATATCCCTCCTCACTGGCACGCTGGTATGTGACATGATTCCGGTCGCGGCGGCTGCGACAGAGCCTGGATCGAACCAGGTCTTGAGTGGCACAGTTGCGATTGCAGGGCCTAGACAAGCGCATCATTGAGAGGGGATTTCTTACATCCACAGGGATTTAACCGTTTTTTTATTTTCTGAATGGGTGCATGTTTATTTGTAACTGGAATAAGCAATTTCATAAATGTGTCAAGTGCAACGTCTGTTTGCTCCTCATTACACACCACGGACCAACAAATATTCTTTACATCAACATAAGAATTACTACAAAACTAACCTCTTATACACTATATTAGGCCCAGCCTTTGAAACTTTGGTTTTTCTAGATATGGTTACTATATTGTGATCACTACATATTCCAGATGGGGAGAACAAAAGGACTTGAGTTCCTGTACGTTACCACAATCACACCGAGTTCATCATAAAACACCTCCACCTTTCTTTTTCCCTGAGAGTTTTTTATTCCTGTACGCACAATGGACGGAGAAACCCGCTGGCTGTATGGACGGGGACAGTACATCCGGAGAGAGCCATGATTCCATGAAACAGAGTATGTTACATTTCGTGATGTCTCTCTGGAAGGAGATCCTCACCCTAAACTCGTCTACTTTATTGTCCAGGGACTGAACATTAGCGAGTAATATACTGGGAAGCGGTGGATGGTTTGCCCTCCGCCTGACCCTGACTGAGTCGAACTAAAAGTCCACTCCTTATTCCTCTTCCCCTGGGATGAATGGAATTGCCTCGGGAAGTTCAAACAAAGGATCCAATTCAGGAAAGTCTAATTTCTGGTCAAAAAGCTGGACTGCCGGTCGAATATATCCCAAAGTTATTTTCGGCTGTAAGTAATAATGTAAGAAACGTTCTGAGCAGATATTGTGGGCTAGGAGCTAGAAACAGGGCCACCATGTCTGTCGGCACCATCCTGTTATGTGTCATGAATAACAACATGGCTATATATAAGGAGTACCAGTACCAGAGTCAATGTGAAGGGGTACGAGGTAGTTGAGGTAGTTGAGGTAGCTATGTACATATAGGTAGGGGTAAAGTGACTAGACAACAGGATAGATAATAGACAGTAGCAGCAGTATACTGTAGGTAGGGGTGAAGTGACTAGGCAACAGGGTAGATAATAGACAGTAGCAGCAGTATACTGTAGGTAGGGGTAAAGTGACTAGGCAACAGGGTAGATAATAGACAGTAGCAGCAGTGGGTAGCCATTTGAGTAGCTATTTATCAGTCTTGTTTAGCAGTCTTATGGGAGAAGAAGCTGTTCAGGGTCCTATATGATATAGCCTACAGTACAGTATATGTGGTGTTCAATGCAGGCCTACTTTTAAAAACGTTTTTACATTATGAAGGACTTTTTTTACGTGGTCTGTAACACCATGGGCCAAATAGCTGACTGTAAATTGCAATGTATTGTGTTTTATGATGCAAGAAACCGCTTTACAAAATACAATTCATTATTATAGGGGCTACCCTATTGGCTGATATATATAGCCCAATAATACCCTATTGGCTGATATATATAGCCCAATAATACCCTATTGGCTGATATATATAGCCCAATAATACCCTATTGGCTGATATATATAGCCCAATAATACCCTATTGGCTGATATATATAGCCCAATAATACCCTATTGGCTGATATATATAGCCCAATAATACCCTATTGGCTGATATATATAGCCCAATAATACCCTATTGGCTGATATATATAGCCCAATAATACCCTATTGGCTGATATATATAGCCCAATAATACCCTATTGGCTGATATATATAGCCCAATAATACCCTATTGGCTGATATATATAGCCCAATAATACCCTATTGGCTGATATATATAGCCCAATAATACCCTATTGGCTGATATATATAGCCCAATAATACCCTATTGGCTGATATATATAGCCCAATAATACCCTATTGTAGGGCTGTCCCCTACTAAAAAAAACATTGGTCGACCCGAGAGTCATCTGTTCTTTCGACCAATCCATTAGTTGACTAAATGGGGTCAGCCCTACCCTATTGGCTGATATATAGCCCAATAATACCGATAGCCTAATATAATGGGCCACGTGAGAATCGCTGGTATTTTAATCTATTTCTTAGGATATTTCTGTAAATTTTGATCTTGACTAGGTTGGCAAAATATCTGGGACTGGGGCCGCAAAGTGAGCTGTGTCACATAAGCCTAAAACAACATTGCAGGACTGCGGTCGTGTTCGGGACCAGTTCTTGCGGGAGAGTGTGGAAGTCGGACAAGAAGTCAGTGGGAGCGGGCGGGGTATAAAAAGCAGCAGGAGAGGGTGTGTGTGTGTGTGTGTGTCTCACCATGCAATGCGTGGTTTAGGCCATCCAGTCACGGTGCAGTGCAGCTTGACAGTCTTGCCCTCCCAGACAGTCTGTCCTCGGGGACGAACTATGAACTCAGGAGGATGGGTCAGGCTGTCACTGTTCTGCTTCTTACGGAACTCTGCTCTCTCCTCAACCTACAGGGGACAGACAGCAGGGATATGGACAGGAAAGGGTTAACTTATCTAAGACCGCCCTCATAACACTGACAAAAGACCACAAGTAATGTGATGTCCAGGAGAGCCTTCTTCTGTAGCTCCAATCAATAAATCAATCAGTCAATCGATCAAATAATAGTACTGACCTTCTTGCTGAGCTCCAGGCGGTCAGCTGACTCTCTAATGTGCCTCTTCCTGCTCTTCTTCTCCACGGTAACTGTCTCCATGGAGCTGGCTTCCCGGGAGAACAGGTTCCTCATGGCAACATGCCCCACCCCCTCCTCCTTCACTTCTTCCTGGACCTCCACTAGGCCCCTGGCAAACTCATGGCTACAGACACAACAACAGACACTGTTCAAACTCATGGCTACAGACACAACAACAGACACTGTTCAAACTCATGGCTACAGACACATCAACAGACAACAACAGACATTTTTCAATTCCAACAACGAACAGTGAGCCGTCGTACTCATCTATAAAAAAAACTAATAACGAAAGAAAAGCATTGCAAGTTTGCATTTTGTAAAGTTAGTGTGGGAGAGGTGGAACATGTATTATTGTTATCGTCTGTAGCCATGAAGTGCTTTGAAAGGCTGGTCATGGCTCACATCAACACCATTATCCCAGAAACCTTAGACCCACTCCAATTCGCATACCGCCCCAACAGATCCACAGATGATGCAATCTCTATTGCACTCCACACTGCCCTTTCCCACCTGGACAAAAGGAACACCTATGTGAGAATGCTGTTTATTGCCCACAGCGCAGCGTTCAACACCATAGTGCCCTCAAAGCTCATCACTAAGCTAAGGACCCTTGGACTAAACACCTCCCTCTGCAACTGGATCCTGGACTTCCTGATGGGCCGCCCCCAGGTGGTAAGGGTAGGCAACAACACATCTGCCAATTTATAAATTTTTTGACATGCGTTCTTCTGGATTTTTTGTTTGTTATTCTGTCTCTCACTGTTCAAATAAACCTACCATTAACATTATATACTGATCATTTCTTTGTCAGTGGGAAAACGTACAAAATAATATAATAATAAGCCATTTAGCAGACGCTTTTATCCAAAGCGACTTACATTCATGTGTGCATACATTTTTACGTATGGGGGGTCCCGGGGATCGAACCCACTACCCTGGCGTTACAAGCGCCATGCTCTACCAAATCAGCAGGGGATCAAATACTTTTTTCCCTCACTGTACTGACCAGCTCATATTATAGACAGAAGCGAGCTACATGGTAGACCAATCTGAACTCATCTCTCGGCATGTCCAGCCCACTCATTATCTCAGCCAATCATGGCTAGCGGGAAGGTTACTGTCTTTTTCCGTGGCTAAACCAACTAGGCTCGTAATTTAACAATTGTATTCGTATTTACAGATGGCATACAAGTTTGTTATTAAGGCACATGAAAGTTCACACGTTCCAGAAGGCATTTCTGCCAAAAACGCATTTTGATTTAAAAAAAGGTTTACATTCAAATGGTGCTCCTGTGAAGTAGTGACACAAGACATATGCCTAGTTTCCTGAAACGAGTTACAATTAACAACAGACTTTGAGCATGATTACAGAGAAGGGCACTCAACATGTACTGCACTGACACAAATGACTGATGATTGGTTGAAAGAAATTGATAATAAAAAGACTGTGGGAGCTGTACTCTTAGATTTCAGTGCAGCCTTTGATATTATTGACCATAACCTGTGGTTGAGAAAACGTATGTGTTATGGCTTTTCAACCTCTGCCATATTGTGGATTCAGAGCTATCTAATAGAACTCAAAAGAGTTTTCTTTAATGGAAGCTTCTCTAATGTCAAACATGTAAAGTGTGGTGTACCACAGGGCAGCTCTCTAGGCCCTCTACTCTTTTCTATTTTTACCAATGTATTGCCACCGGCATTAAACAAAGCATGTGTGTCCATGTATGCTGATGATTCAACCATATACGCATCAGCAACCACAGCTAATGAAGTCACTGAAACACTTAACAAAGAGTTGCAGTCTGTTTTGGAATTTGTGGCCAGTAATAAACTGGTCCTGAACACATCTAAAACTAAGAGCATTGTACTTGGTACAAATCATTCCCTAACTTCTAGACCTCAGCTGAATCTGGTAATGAATGGTGTGGCTGTTGAACAAGTTGAGGAGACTAAATTACTTGACGTTACCTTAGATTGTAAACTATCATGGTCAAAACATATAGATACAATGGTTGTAAAGATGGGGAGAGGTCTGTCCGTAATAAAGAGGTGCACTGCTTTTTTGACACCACACTCCAAAAAGCAAGTCCTGCAGGCTCTAGTTTTGTCTTATCTTGATTATTGTCCAGTTGTGTGGTCGAGTGCTGCAAGAAAATACCTAGTTAAGTTGCAGCTGGCCCAGAACAGAGCGGCACGTCTTGCTCTTCATTGTAATCAGAGGGCTGATATAAATACTATGCATGCCAGTCTCTCTTGGCTAAGAGTTGAGGAGAGACTGACTGCATCACTTCTTTTTATTGTTGAAGTCGGAAGTTTACACTTAGGTTGGATTCATTAAAACTCGTTTTTCAACCACTCCACAAATTTCTTATTAATAAACTATAGTTTTGGCAAGTCGGTTAGGACATCTACTTTGTGCATGACACAAGTAATTTTTCCAACAATTGTTTACAGACAGATTATTTCACTTATAATTCACTGTATCACAATTCCAATGGGTCAGAAGTTTACATACACTAAGTTGACTGTGCCTTTAAACAGATTGGAACATTTCAGAAAATGATGTCATGGCTTTAGAAGCTTCTGATAGGATAATTGACATCATTTGAGTCAATTGGAGGTGTACCTGTGGATGTATTTCAAGGCCTACCTTCAAACTCAGTGCCTCTTTGCTTGACATCATGGGAAAATCAAAATAAATCTGCCAAGACCTCAGAAAAAAAATTGTAGACCTCCACAAGTCTGGTTCATCCTTGGGAGCAATTTCCAAACGCCTGAAGGTACCACGTTCATCTGTACAAACAATAGCACGCAAGTATAAACACCATGGGACCATGCAGCCATCATACCGCTCAGGAAGGAGACGCGTTCTGTCTCCTAGAGGTGAACGTACTTTGGTGCGAAGAGTGCAAATCAATCCCAGAGCAACAGCAAAGGACCTTCTGAAGATGCTGGAGGAAAAAGGTACAAAAGTATCTATATCTGTCACGCCCTGGCTCTGGGGACTCTAGTATGTTGAGGGTGTGAGTTTTCATTTGTGTTTGTTCTAGTTGTTGTATTTCTATGTTGGCCAGGGTGGCTCCCAATCAGAGATGGCTGTAGCTCGTTGTCTCTGATTGGGAGCCATACTTAAGTAACCGTTAGGCATTCATTTGGTGTGGTTTCTTGTTCCGTGTTGGTTTGTGTATGTAACCAGGGACGTCACATTTTCGTTTTGTTGTTTTGTTCGTGTGATACTTTATAATAATAAAATGTTCGCATTCCACGCTGCGCCTTGGTCCTCCTCTGTTCCCGACGAGCGTGACAGAAGAAACCACCAAGACTGGACCAAGCAGCGTGTCCAGGAGCCATCGCCAGGGAGATCTCTAGCAGATCTCATTCGCCTCCTCGACTGGGTCAAGCCGGGTGAGGAAGAGAAGGGCCGGACTTGGAAGCAGAAGGGCGAAAGGCTGGCGAGGGACATGGAGACCTGGTCCACGGGTAGGAGAGATGCCCAGAACATTTTTAGGGGGGGGCTAACGCCGTGGACGACGGGCCAGCAGGAGACCGCAACAGAGCGGCCCAGCGGGTTGGCAGAGGAGGCCGCCAGGTTACGGGGGCCACTGGTCGAAGAGGGGATGGAAGGTGTAGAGGCACGGCGAGAGGTACTGGGGTGTGTTACCAGTCCGGTCCGGCCCGTTCCTGCTCCCCGCACCAAGCCAATGGTGCGCATCGCCAGCCCGGTCCGGCCCGCTCCTGCTCCCCACACCAAGCCAGTGGTGTGCGTCGTCAGCCCGGCACGGCCCGTGCCTGTTCCCCACACCAAGCCAGTGGTGTGCGTCATCAGTCCGGCACGTCCCGTGCCTGTTCAGATGCTTCACGCCGGAGCTAGAGCAATCCGCTCCACCAGTGTGCAGTCCAGCTCCGGCCAGCGGGGCCAGACCGGACCAGGGATACTTTGGGGGGTTGGAGAGGGAGCGGGGATCAGGCCCGGAGCTGGATCCGCCGCCTAGGCGGAGTGCCCACCCGGTCCCTCCCCTGTGGTATTTGGTTGGCGCGGTCGGAGTCCGCGCCTTTAGGGGGGGGTACTGTCACGCCCTGGCTCTGGGGACTCTAGTATGTTGAGCCAGGGTGTGAGTTTTCATTTGTGTTTGTTCTAGTTGTTGTATTTCTATGTTGGCCAGGGTGGCTCCCAATCAGAGATGGCTGTAGCTCGTTGTCTCTGATTGGGAGCCATACTTAAGTAACCGTTAGGCATTCATTTGGTGTGGTTTCTTGTTCCGTGTTGGTTTGTGTATGTAACCAGGGACGTCACGTTTTCGTTTTGTTGTTTTGTTCGTGTGATACTTTATAATAATAAAATGTTCGCATTCCACGCTGCGCCTTGATCCTCCTCTGTTCCCGACGAGCGTGACAATATCCACAGTAAAACGAGTCCTATATCGACATAACCTGAAAGGCCGCTCAGCAAGGAAGAAGACACTGCTCCAAAACCGCCATTAAAAAGCCAGACTACGGTCTGCAACTGTACATGGGGACAAAGATCGTACTTTTTGGAGAAATGTCCTCTGGTCTGATGAAATAAAAATATAACTGTTTGGCCATAATGACCATTGTTATGGAAGTCGCTCTGGATAAGAGCGTCTGCTAAATGACTCAAATGTAAAATGTTATGTTTGGAGGAAAAAGGGGGTTGCTTGCAAGTCGAAGAACTCCATCCCAACCGTGAAGCACAGGGGTGGCAGCATCATGCTGTGGGGGTGCTTTGCTGCAGGAGGGACTGGTGCACTTCACAAAATAGATGGCATCATGAGGAAGGAAAATTATATGGATATATTGAAGCAACATCTCAAGACATCAGTCAGGAAGTTAAAGCTTGGTCGCAAGTGGGTCTTCCAAATGGACAATGACCCCAAGCATAATTCCAAAGTTGTGGCAAAATGGCTTAAGGACAACAAAGTCAAAGTATTGGAGTGGCCATCACAAAGCCCTGACCTCAATCCTATAGAAAATGTGTGAGCAGAACTGAAAAAGCGTGTGCGAGCAAGGAGGCCTACAAACCTGACTCAGTTACTCAGCTACCAAATACTAATTGAGTGTATTTAAACTTCTGACCCACTGGGAATGTGATGAAAGAAATAAAAGCTGAAATAAATCATTCTCTCTACTATCATTCTGACATTTCACATTCTTAAAATAAAGTGGTGATCCTAACTGACCTAAGACAGGGAATGTTTACGAGGATTAAATGTCATGAACTGTGAAAAACTGAGTTTAAATGTAATTGGCTAAGGTGTATGTAAACTTCCCACTTCAACTGTACATACTACCCCAATTACCTCGACTAACCGGTGCCCCCGCACATTGCCTCGGTACCGGTACCCCCTGTATATAGCCTCCCTACTGTTATTTCCCATTGACTCTGTACCGGTACCCCCTGTATATAGCCTCCCTACTGTTATTTCCCATTGACTCTGTACCGGTATCCCTGTATATGGCCTCCCTACTGTTATTTCCCATTGACTCTGTACCGGTACCCCCTGTATATAGCCTCCCTACTGTTATTTCCCATTGACTCTGTACCGGTACCCCTGTATATAGCCTCCCTAACTGTTATTTCCCATTGACTCTGTACCGGTACCCCCTGTATATAGCCTCCCTACTGTTATTTCCCATTGGACTCTGTACCGGTACCCCCTGTAATATAGCCTCCCTACTGTTATTTCCCATTGACTCTGTACTCGGTACCCCCTGTATATAGCCTCCCACTGTTATTTCCCAGGACTCTGTACCGGTACCCCCCTGTAATATAGCCCTCCCTACTGTTATTTCCCATTGACTCTGTACCGGTACCCCCTGTATATAGCCTCCCTACTGTTATTTCCCATGGACTCTGTACCGGTACCCCCTGTATATAGCCTCCCTACTGTTATTTCCCATTGACTCTGTACCGGTACCCCCTGTATATAGCCTCCCTACTGTTATTTCCCATTGACTCTGTACCGGTACCCCCTGTATATAGCCTCCCTACTGTTATTTCCCATTGACTCTGTACCGGTACCCCCCTGTATATAGCCTCCCTACTGTTATTTCCCATTGACTCTGTACCGGTACCCCCTGTATATAGCCTCCCTACTGTTATTTCACATAGCCTCTGTCCCGGTACCCCCCTGTATATAGCCTCCCTACTGTTATTTCCCATTGACTCTGTACCGGTACCCCCTGTATATAGCCTCCCTACTGTTATTTCCCATTGACTCTGTACCGGTACCCCCTGTATATAGCCTCCCTACTGTTATTTCCCATTCACTCTGTACCGGTACCCCCTGTATATAGCCTCCCTACTGTTATTTCCCATTGACTCTGTACCGGTACCCCCTGTATATAGCCTCCCTACTGTTATTTCCCATTGACTCTGTACCGGTACCCCCTGTATATAGCCTCCCTACTGTTATTTCACATTGACTCTGTACCGGTACCCCTGTATATAGCCTCCCTACTGTTTATTTCCCATTGACTCTGTACCGGTACCCCCTGTTATAGCCTCCCTACTGTTATTTCCCATTGACTCTGTACCGGTACCCCCTGTATATAGCCTCCCCTACTGTTATTTCCCATTGACTCTGTACCGGTACCCCCTGTATATAGCCTCCCTACTGTTATTTCCCATTGACTCTGTACCGGTACCCCCTGTATATAGCCTCCCTACTGTTATTTCCCATTGACTCTGTCCCGGTACCCCCTGTATATAGCCTCCCTACTGTTATTTTACTGCTGCTCTTTAATTATTTGTTACTTTTATTTCGTATTATTTGATATTGTATTTCTTTGTGATTTTTTTGGTATTCTTTCTTAAAACTGCATTGTTGGTTAAGGGCATGTAAGTCATTGTAAGGTCTACACCTGTTGTATTCGGCGTATGTGAAAAATACAACTTGATTTGATTTGGAGGTTTCTCACAAATCCCTCTCCCCTGAATATATGAGCACCAAGAACAAATTACTTCAGATATCCCAAAAATATATTTAACTAACAAATTCCAAGAATACTTAAATAATTTAAAGTCAACTTGAAAAATCATCAATCAACTGTTGAATAAGAAAACAACATCTACAAATATCCCATCTCAATTTATTGTTGGAAATAAAACCTATAGTGATTCTGATGTTATTTCATGTGAATTTAATAACTTCTTTGTGACTGTGGGTTCCTCTCTGTCAAATAAAATAGAGAAAACTGATGTAAATCACTTGGATTACATTAAGGGACATTTCCCTTCTCTGCTTCAGTTTGATCCTCCTGATGTGATGGAGGTGATGGAGGTGATGGAGGTCATTGGTAAATTAAAGGTACCAGCAGCAGGTTATGATGAGATTGGGGCCTCTTTGGTGAAATCAGAGTCTTCCTCAATCACTGAGCCTCTAACGTACATCTTCACCAAATCTATGCAAACTGATATTTTTCCTAAAGATCTGAAAATTGAAAAGGTTATCCCCCTCTATAAATCTGGGGATCCAAAATATTTTACAAATGATCGCCCAGTATTTGTCCTACCATGTTTCTAAAATCCTAGAAAAATGGGTGTAAAAGAGAATGTTGAAACATTTAAATCAACACTGAGCACCAATATGGTTTTAACACTGTATTCTATATGAGCACCAATATGGTTCCAACACTGTATTCTATATCAGCACCAATATGGTTTTAACACTGTATTCTATATCAGCACCAATATGGTTTTCAACACTGTATTCTATGAGCACCAATATGGTTTCAACACTGTATTCTATATGAGCACCAATATGGTTCCAACACTGTATTCTATATCAGCACCAATATGGTTTTAACACTGTATTCTATGAGCACCAATATGGTTTCAACACTGTATTCTATATGAGCACCAATATGGTTCCAACACTGTATTCTATATGAGCACCAATATGGTTTCAACACTGTATTCTATATGAGCACCAATATGGTTCCAACACTGTATTCTATATGAGCACCAATATGGTTTCAACACAGTATTCTATATGAGCACCAATATGGTTCCAACACTGTATTCTATATGAGCACCAATATGGTTTCAACACTGTATTCTATATGAGCACAAATATGGTTTCAACACTGTATTCTATATGAGCACCAATATGGTTTCAACACTGTATTCTATATGAGCACCAATATGGTTTTAACACCGTATTCTATATGAGCACCAATATGGTTCCAACACTGTATTCTATATGAGCACCAATATGGTTCCAACACTGTATTCTATATGAGCACCAATATGGTTTTAACACTGTATTCTATATGAGCACCAATATGGTTTTAACACTGTATTCTATGAGCACCAATATGGTTTTAACACTGTATTCTATATGAGCACCAATATGGTTTTAACACTGTATTCTATATGAGCACCAATATGGTTTCAACACTGTATTCTATATGAGCACCAATATGGTTTTAACACTGTATTCTATATGAGCACCAATATGGTTTTAACACAGTATTCTATATGAGCACCAATATGGTTTTTACACTGTATTCTATATGAGCACCAATATGGTTTCAACACTGTATTCTATATGAGCACCAATATGGTTTTAACACTGTATTCTATATGAGCACCAATATGGTTTTAACACTGTATTCTATATGAGCACCAATATGGTTTTTACACTGTATTCTATATGAGCACCAATATGGTTTCAACACTGTATTCTATATGAGCACCAATATGGTTTTTACACTGTATTCTATATGAGCACCAATATGGTTTCAACAATGTATTCTATATGAGCACCAATATGGTTCCAACACTGTATTCTATATGAGCACCAATATGGTTCAACAATGTATTCTATATGAGCACCAATATGGTTCCAACACTGTATTCTATATGAGCACCAATATGGTTCCAACACTGTATTCTATATGAGCACCAATATGGTTTTAACACTGTATTCTATATGACACCAGTATGGTTTTAAACACTGTATTCTATATGAGCACAATATGGTTTTAACACTGTATTCTATATGAACACCAGTATGGTTTTAACACTGTATTCTATTGAGCACCAATATGGTTTTCAAACACTGTATTCTATATGAGCACCAATATGGTTTCAACACTGTATTCTATATGAGCACCAATATGGTTTCAACACTGTATTCTATATGAGCACCAATATGGTTCCAACACTGTATTCTATATGAGCACCAATATGGTTCCAACCCTGTATTCTATATGAGCACCAATATGGTTTTAACACTGTATTCTATATGAGCACCAATATGGTTCCAACACTGTATTCTATATGAGCACCAATATGGTTTCCAACACTGTATTCTATATGAGCACCAATATGGTTCCAACCCTGTATTCTATATGAGCACCAATATGGTTTTAACACTGTATTCTATATGAGCACCAATATGGTTTTAACACTGTATTCTATATGAGCACCAATATGGTTCCAACCCTGTATTCTATATGAGCACCAATATGGTTTTAACACTGTATTCTATATGAGCACCAATATGGTTTCAACCCTGTATTCTATATGAGCACCAGTATGGTTTTAACACTGTATTCATTATGAGCACCAATATGGTTCCAACACTGTATTCTATATGAGCACCAATATGGTTCCAACACTGTATTCTATATGAGCACCAATATGGTTCCAACCCTGTATTCTATATGAGCACCAATATGGTTTTAACACTGTATTCTATATGAGCACCAATATGGTTTTAACACTGTATTCTATATGAGCACCAATATGGTTCCAACCCTGTATTCTATATGAGCACCAATATGGTTTTAACACTGTATTCTATATGAGCACCAATATGGTTTCAACCCTGTATTCTATATGAGCACCAGTATGGTTTTAACACTGTATTCTATATGAGCACCAATATGGTTCCAACACTGTATTCTATATGAGCACCAATATGGTTCCAACCCTGTATTCTATATGAGCACCAATATGGTTTCAACACTGTATTCTATATGAGCACCAGTATGGTTTTAACACTGTATTCTATATGAGCACCAATATGGTTCCAACCCTGTATTCTATATGAGCACCAATATGGTTCCAACACTGTATTCTATATGAGCACCAATATGGTTCCAACACTGTATTCTATATGAGCACCAATATGGTTTCAACACTGTATTCTATATGAGCACCAATATGGTTCCAACCCTGTATTCTATATGAGCACCAATATGGTTTTAACACTGTATTCTATATGAGCACCAATATGGTTCCAACACTGTATTCTATATGAGCACCAATATGGTTCCAACACTGTATTCTATATGAGCACCAATATGGTTTCAACCCTGTATTCTATATGAGCACCAGTATGGTTTTAACACTGTATTCTATATGAGCACCAATATGGTTCCAACACTGTATTCTATATGAGCACCAATATGGTTCCAACCCTGTATTGTATATGAGCACCAATATGGTTTCAACACTGTATTCTATATGAGCACCAGTATGGTTTTAACACTGTATTCTATATGAGCACCAATATGGTTCCAACCCTGTATTCTATATGAGCACCAATATGGTTCCAACACTGTATTCTATATGAGCACCAATATGGTTTCCAACACTGTATTCTATATGAGCACCAATATGTTTCAACACTGTATTCTATATGAGCACCAATATGGTTTCCAACACTGTATTCTATATGAGCACCAATATGGGTTCCAACACTGTATTCTATATGAGCACCAATATGGTTCCAAAACTGTATTCTATATGAGCACCATATGGTTCCAACACTGTATTCTATATGAGCACCAATATGGTTTTAACACTGTATCTATATGAGCACCAATATGGTTTAACACTGTATTCTATATGAGCACCAATATGGTTTCAACACTGTATTCTATATGAGCACCAATATGGTTCCAACACTGTATTCTATATGAGCACCAATATGGTTTCAACACTGTATTCTATATGAGCACCAATATGGTTCCAACACTGTATTCTATATGAGCACCAATATGGTTCCAACCCTGTATTCTATATGAGCACCAATATGGTTCCAACCACTGTATTCTATATGAACACCAATATGGTTCCAACCCTGTATTCTATATGAGCACCAATATGGTTCCAACACTGTATTCTATATGAGCACCAATATGGTTCCAACACTGTATTCTATATGAGCACCAATATGGTTCCAACACTGTATTCTATATGAGCACCAATATGGTTCCAACACTGTATTCTATATGAGCACCAATATGGTTCCAACACTGTATTCTATATGAACACCAGTATGGTTTTAACACTGTATTCTATATGAGCACCAATATGGTTTTAACACTGTATTCTATATGAACACCAGTATGGTTTTAACACTGTATTCTATATGAGCACCAATATGGTTTTAACACTGTATTCTATATGAGCACCAATATAGTTTTAACACTGTATTCTATATGAGCACCAGTATGGTTTCAACACTGTATTCTATATGAGCACCAATATGGTTTTAACACTGTATTCTATATGAACACCAGTATGGTTTTAACACTGTATTCTATATGAGCACCAATATAGTTTTAACACTGTATTCTATATGAGCACCAGTATGGTTTCAACACTGTATTCTATATGAGCACCAGTATGGTTTCAACACTGTATTCTATATGAGCACCAATATGGTTCCAACACTGTATTCTATATGAGCACCAATATAGTTTTAACACTGTATTCTATATGAACACCAGTATGGTTTTAACACTGTATTCTATATGAGCACAATATGGTTTTAAACACTGTATTCTATATGAGCACCAATATAGTTTAACACTGTATTCTATATGACACCAGTATGGTTTCAACACTGTATTCTATATGAGCACCAATATGGTTTCAACATGTATTCTATATGAGCACCAGTATGGTTCCAACACTGTATTCTATATGAGCACCAATATGGTTTCAACACTGTATTCTATATGAGCACCAATATGGTTTCAACACTGTATTCTATATGAGCACCAATATGGTTTCAACACTGTATTCTATATGAGCACCAATATGGTTTTCGTAAAATCTACTTCCCAGATATGGCTCTTTTGCAACTTGTGGATAAAATATTTACAGCCCTTAACAACAATGAATACGCTCTTGGCATCTTTTTAGATGTATGCAAAGCATTTGACACGGTTGATGATGAAATATTACATTATTACGGTTTATGAATATACATATAATTGGCTATATACGGTGCATTCCTAAAGTATTCAGACCCCTTCCCTTTTTGTTATGTTACAGCCTTTTCAAACATTTGTATTTATTTTTTATTTCCTCATCAATCTGCGCACAATACCCCATAATGACAGGTATTAGAATGTTTGCAAATGTACTAAATATAAAAAACTGAAATACCTTGTTTACATAAGTATTCAGACCCTTTGCTATGAGAATCGAAATTGAGCTCAGGTGCATCCTGTTTCCATTGATCATCCTTGAGATGTTTCTACAATTTGATTGGAGTCCACCTGTGGTAAATTCAATTGATTGGACATGATTTGGAAATACACACACATGCCTATATAAGGTCCCACAGTTGACAGTGCACGTCAGAGCAAAAACCAAGCCATGAGGTAGAAGGAATTGTCCGTAGAGCTCAGAGACAGGATTGTGTCGAGGTACAGATCTGGGGAAGGGTACCGGAAAATGTCTGCAGCATTGAAGGTCCCCAAGAACACAGTGGCCTCCATCATTCTTAAATGGAAGAAATTTGGAAGGTGACCAAAAACCCGATGGTCACTGACAGAGCTCCAGAGTTCCTCTGTGGAGATGGGAGAATCTTCCAGAAAGACAACCATCTGTGCAGCACTCCACCAATCAGGCCTTTATGGTAGAGTGGCCAGACGGAAGCCACTCCTCAGTAAAAAGCACATGACAGCCCGCTTGGAGTTTGCCAAAAGGCACCTAAAGGACTCTCATACCATAAGAAACAAGATTCTCTGATCTGATGAAACCAAGATTGAACTCTTTGGCCTGAATGCCAAGCGTGACATCTGGAGGAATCCTGGCAGAGAGAATGGGAGAAACTCCCCAAATACAGGTGTGCCAAGCTTGTAGCGTCATACCTTAAAAGTATCGAGGCTGTAATCACTGCCAAAGGTGCTTCAACAAAGTACTGAGTAAAGGGTCTGAATACTTATGTAAATGTGATATTTCAGTGTTTTATTTTTTTATTTTGTGCAAAAATAATCTAAAAACCTGTTTTTGCTTTGTCATTATGGGGTATTATGTGAAGATTGATGAGAATTACATGTTTTTTTAAATCCATTTTAGAATAAGGCTGTAACGTAACAAAATGTGGAAAAAGTCAAGGGGTCTGAATACTTTCCGAATGAACTGTAGTTATGTTTATGATAGAGAGCAATGTGTTTATGCAAACAGCTGTGCATCTACCAGGGCCACGATATCCTGTGGTGTTCCACAGGGTTGGATAATTGAACCTTTGTTATTCCTAAACTATATTAATGACCTTGGACCTTTGTTATTCCTAATCTATATCAATGACCTTGGACCTTTGTCATTCCTAATCTATATCAATGACCTTGGACCTTTGTTATTCCTAATCTATATCAATGACCTTGGACCTTTGTTATTCCTAATCTATATCAATGACCTTGGACCTTTGTCATTCCTAATCTATATTAATGACCTTGGACCTTTGTCATTCCTAATCTATATCAATGACCTTGGACCTTTGTCATTCCTAATCTATATTAATGACCTTGAACCTTTGTCATTCCTAATCTATATCAATGACCTTGCTGCTGTGTCTCCTACCATACTTCCCCTTCTCTTTGCTGATGATACCAAGTAGATTTTATCACACAATCATTTTGATTCAGTAATTAATGAAGCCAGCTCAGGCATGGACAAATGTTCTGAATGGTTCCAGATAAACAAGTTATCTTTAAATGTTAAAAAATCCAACTTTATTGTATGCACTAGTAAGATTGTAAAAAAGGAGCCAGAATCTCAATTGGTGGGAATGAAATGGATGAAAAGTTTCATCTACAAATACTCATATCTCCCAGACATTTTATCTAAACCATTCAATGGATTCTTCCAGGTTAATTCCAAATCCATCTATATAAAACAAGACACTGTGATAACCTTCACCCTCCCCACTGCCCCACCTCTCATAGTCAATTCTCTATCAGATATAGAATTCTTATCTTCACACTGCCAAAACATCATCATCCCTCAATAACTTAAAGGTAAGATTGGGGGTCAGCCTGATGAACCAAACTACTCAGTAATCTCCTCCATATAGCCCAACTCTCACACACTCACATGCACACACACACATTTAAACAAAACAAATACTGTTAGTTTTTTTTCGTGATTACTGATCAATTAATTTATACATTTATGATTAGTAGGTTTTGTTATCTGTTTTAACAAACCTTTTTATTTTTGTACTTATGTATTGTATATAGTTTTTTTGTGGTGTGGTTTTTATACAAGCCCCTGGGCTTCCAACTACACCTGCACACCGTTTATTTATTAGTTTTTATCTATATTGTTGTTTATCAATTGTTTTCTTTGGTGCAAATAAATTAAACCTAAACATCCCCAAACTCATGGCTACAGACAACAGGCGCATGCTGTATGAAAACAGACAATACTGGCAACACTACATTCAGAGTAAAGTCTATCTGAAACATGTCAATGGTACTATGTTATATCCCAGCTATAGTAACCCTGACAACAGTCTCCCACCTGGTGCTAAAGACAGGGAGGACATATCCTATGACTACAGACAGGACAACAGACATAATGTCAGTACTCCACCTGGTCCTGAAGACAGGGATGACATATCCTATGACTACAGACAGGACAACAGACATAATGTCAGTACTCCACCTGGTCCTGAAGACAGGAACTATGTATCCAATGACCTCGTTGGTGTCAGGGTCCATGGCCAGGTACTTCTTGACTCTCGGCGGCAGCAGCTGGCTAGGTATGAACTCCGACCCCTTCACTGACTGGACAGAACTCTGCTGCACTCTGCCAGGGGGAGAGACAGTTAGAGAGAGGCAGAGCTGTACAACTCTTTAACACTGAGTAGTTGTGTAACAGCAACATGTGTTCTACCTGGATGTGCCTTTACAGTTACTGTGATAGATGGAAGAATGGAAAGAGTCACTAAACAAAGAAACATATAAAGATAAACTGAGACTGGATCCTAGTCCAGTGAACAGCAGAAATAACTGACATGATCCTGACACACATTACAGACCCATATACACAAGACACCACAGATACAGCAGACACCACAGATACAGCAGACACCACAGATATACCAGACACCACAGATACACCAGACACCACAGATACACCAGACACCACAGATACACCAAACACCACAGATACACCACAGACACACCAGACACCACAGATACAGAACGATTATCGACCAGACATCACAGATACACCAGACACCACAGATACACCAAACCCCACAGATACACCAGACACCATATATACACCACAGATACACCACAAATACACCAGACACCACAGATACACCAGACACAACTGATACACCACATATACACCACAGATACACCAGACACCACAGATACACCACAGATATACCAGAGATATACCAGAGATACACCACAGATACACCAGACACCACAGATACACCACAGATACACCACAGATACACCAGACACCACAGATACAACACAGATACACCACAGATACAACATAGATACACCACAGATACACCATATATACACCACAGATACAACACATATACACCACAGATACACCACAAATACACCAGACACCACAGATACACCACAGATACACCAGACACCACAGATACACCACAGATACACCACAGATACAGACACCACAGATACACCACAGACACACCAGACACCACAGATACACCATACACCATAGATACACCAGACACCACAGATATACCACAGATACACCAGACAACACAGATACAACAGACACCACAGATACACAAGACACGACAGATACACCAGACACCAACGATAAACCATAGATAAACCACAGATACAAAAGACACCATATATACCACCACAGATACACCAGACAAACCACAGGCTAACTAGACACCACAGATACACCAAACCCCACAGATACACCAGACACAACTGATACACCACAGATACACCAGACACAACTGATACACCACAGATGCACCAGACACCACAGATACACAGATACACCAGACACAACTGATACACCACAGATACACCACAAACAAACCAGACACCACAGATACACCACAGATACACCACAGATACACCAGACACCACAGATACAACAGACCCCACAGATACACCACAGATTTACCAGACACCACAGATACACCAGACACCACAGATACACCAGACACCACAGATACACCAGACACCACAAATACACCACAGACCCCACAAAATACAACCACAAAACACCACCCGACACCACAGATACACCAGAACACCAGAGATACACCACAGATACACCAGACAAACAACAGGCCAACTAGACACCACAGATACACCAAACACCACAGATACACCAGACACCACAGATACACCACAGATACACCAGACACAACTGATACACCACAGATACACCAGACTCCACATATACACCACAGATACACCAGACACCACAGATACAACACAGATACACCAGACACAACTGATACACCACAGATACACCAGACACCACAGATAAACCACAGATACACCACAGATACACCAGACACAACTGATACACCACAGATACACCAGAAACCACAGATACACCAGACACCACAGATACACCAACCAGATACACCACAGATACACCAGAAAACACCACAGATACAACACAGATACACCAGACACCACAGATACACCACATATACACCACAGATACACCAGACACCACAGATACACCACATATACACCAGACACCACAGATACACTACAGATACAACAAAGATACACCAGACACCACAGATACACCACAAGAACACAACAGATACACCAGACACAACTGATACACCACAGATACACCAGAGATACACCACAGATACACCATACACCACATATACACCACAGATACACCACAGATACACCAGACACCACAGATACACCCCAGATACACCAGACACCACAGATACACCATAGATACAACACAGATACACCAGACACAACTGATACACCACAGATACACCAGACACCACAGATACACCAGACACCACAGATACACCACAAGAACACCACAGATACACCAGACACAACTGGTACACCACAGATACACCAGACACCACAGATACACCACAGATACACCAGACACCACAGATACACCACAGATACAACACAGATACACCATACACCACAGATACACCACAGATACAACACAGATACACCAGACACAACTGATACACCACAGATACACCAGACACAACTGATACACCACAGATACAGCAGACACCACATATACACCAGACACCACAGATAAACCACAGATACAGCAGACACCAGAGATACACCAGACACCACAGATACACCACAGATACACCACCAGACACAACATACACACACAGACACCACAGATACAACCAGACACCACAGATACACCAGACACAACTGATACACCACAGATACACCAGACACAACTGATACACCACAGATACACCACACATACACCAGATACCACACATACACCACAGATACACCAGACACCACAGATACACCAGACACCACAGATACACCACAGATACACCAAACACCACAGACAAACCAGACACCAAGAACACCACAGATACACCAGATACACCACAGATACACCACAGATACACAAGACACCACAGATACACCAGACACCACAGATACAGTGGGGGGAAAAAGTATTTAGTCAGCCACCAATTGTGCATGTTCTCCCACTTAAAAAGATGAGAGAGGCCTGTAATTTTCATCATAGGTACACGTCAACTATGACAGACAAATTGAGAAGAAAAAAATCCAGAAAATCACATTGTAGGATTTTTAATGCATTTTTTGCAAATTATGGTGGAAAATAAGTATTTGGTCACCTACAAACAAGCAAGATTTCTGGCTCTCACAGACCTGTAACTTCTTCTTTAAGAGGCTCCTCTGTCCTCCACTCGTTACCTGTATTAATGGCACCTGTTTGAACTTGTTATCAGTATAAAAGACACCTGTCCACAACCTCAAACAGTCACACTCCAAACTCCACTATGGCCAAGACCAAAGAGCTGTCAAAGGACACCAGAAACAAAATTGTAGACCTGCACCAGGCTGGGAAGACTGAATCTGCAATAGGTAAGCAGCTTGGTTTGAAGAAATCAACTGTGGGAGCAATTATTAGGAAATGGAAGACATACAAGACCACTGATAATCTCCCTCGATCTGGGGCTCCACGCAAGATCTCACCCCGTGGGGTCAAAATGATCACAAGAACGGTGAGCAAAAATCCCAGAACCACACGAGGGGACCTAGTGAATGACCTGCAGAGAGCTGGGACCAAAGTAACAAAGCCTACCATCAGTAACACACTACGCCGCCAGGGACTCAAATCCTGCAGTGCCAGACGTGTCCCCCTGCTTAAGCCAGTACATGTCCAGGCCCGTCTGAAGTTTGCTAGAGTGCATTTGGATGATCCAGAAGAGGATTGGGAGAATGTCATATGGTCAGATGAAACCAAAATAGAACTTTTTGGTAAAAACTCAACTCGTCGTGTTTGGAGGACAAAGAATGCTGAGTTGCATCCAAAGAACACCATACCTACTGTGAAGTATGGGGGTGGAAACATCATGCTTTGGGGCTGTTTGTCTGCAAAGGGACCAGGACGACTGATCCGTGTAAAGGAAAGAATGAATGGGGCCATGTATCGTGAGATTTTGAGTGAAAACCTCCTTCCATCAGCAAGGGCATTGAAGATGAAACGTGGCTGGGTCTTTCAGCATGACAATGATCCCAAACACACCGCCGGGGCAACGAAGGAGTGGCTTCGTAAGAAGCATTTCAAGGTCCTGGAGTGGCCTAGCCAGTCTCCAGATCTCAACCCCATAGAAAATCTTTGGAGGGAGTTGAAAGTCTGTGTTGCCCAGCGACAGCCCCAAAACATCACTGCTCTAGAGGAGATCTGCATGGAGGAATGGGCCAAAATACCAGCAACAGTGTGTGAAAACCTTGTGAAGACTTACAGAAAACGTTTGACCTGTGTCATTGCCAACAAAGGGTATATAACAAAGTATTGAGAAACTTTTGTTATTGACCAAATACTTATTTTCCACCATAATTTGCAAATAAATTCATTACAAATCCTACAATGTGATTTTCTGGATTTTTTTCTCTCATTTTGTCTGTCATAGTTGACGTGTACCTATGATGAAAATTACAGGCCTCTCTCATCTTTTTAAGTGGGAGAACTTGCACAATTGGTGGCTGACTAAATACTTTTTTTCCCCACTGTACACCAGACACCACAGATACAACACAGATACACCACAGATACAGCAGACACAATATATACACCACAGATGTGGTCCTCTGTAGCTCAATTGGTAGAGCATGGCGCTTGTAACGCCAGGGTAGTGGGTTCGATCCCCGGGACCACCCATACGTAAAAATGTATGCGCACATGACTGTAAGACGCTTTGGATAAAAGCGTCTGCTAAATGGCATATTATTATTATTAATATTATTATTATTAGATACACCAGACACACCACAGATACACCAGACAACACAGATAAACCACAGATTCACCAGACACCACAGATACACCAGAAACCATAGATACACCAGACACACCACAGATACACTAGGCACCACAGATACACCACATAAATAGCAGACACCACAGATACACCATAGACACACCAGACACACCAGACACCACAGATACACCAGACACCACAGATACCGCAGACACACCAGACACCACAGATACACCAGACACCACAGATACACCAGACACCACAGATACACCAGACACCACAGATACACCAGACACCACAGATACACCACCGATACACCAGACACCACCGATACACCAGACACCACAGATACACCTGACACCACAGATACACCAGACACCACAGATATACCAGACACCACAGATATACCAGACACCACAGATACACCACAGATACTCCATACGCCACAGATACACTAGCCTCTCACACCTCCATTTGTCTGTTTGGTTTTTGAATAAGACCAAGAAAGGAAAGGAACTGTTGGATAGCTGGAGTAGAGTTCAGCTGTAGGAGAGTTCACATAATTAGAAGAGTTGCTGTATTAAACACTAACAACTGGAGGAACTACAGATTGACAATGATCTTTCAGCTGGAGGAACACCACACTTCCAAGCCTTCCGTCTGGTCCTTCAGCCTACAGCATGTCTCCAACATGGACCTTCAGCCTATGGCATGTCTCCAACATGGAGCCTACAGTCTGGTCCTTCAGCCTACAGCATGTCTCCAACATGGAGCCTACAGTCTGGTCCTTCAGCCTACAGCATGTCTCCAACATGGAGCCTTCAGTCTGGTCCTTCGGCCTACAGCATGTCTCCAACATGGAGCCTTCAGCCTACAGCATGTCTCCAACATGGAGCCTTCAGTCTACAGCATGTCTCCAACATGGAGCCTTCAGTCTACAGCATGTCTCCAACATGGAGCCTCAGTCTGGTCCTTCAGCTACATCTTTCAACATGGGCCTACAGTTGTCCTTGGCCAAAGATGTCTCCAATGGAGCCTACAAAAAAAATTAAAAAGGGAAAAAAAAAAAAACCCCCAAAGGGGGGGGGGCCCCCCGGGGAAAAATTTTTTTTGGGGGGGGTTTTGGGGTTTCCCCCCCCCCAAAAAAAACCCCGGGGGGGTTTTTTTTCCCCCCCTTTAAAAATTTTTTTAAAAATTTTTTTTCCCCCCCCCCCCAAAAAAAAAATTTCCCCCCCAAAAAAAAAAAGGGGGGCCCCCCCAAAACCCCCCCAAAAAACCCCAAACCCCCCAAAAAAAAAAGGGGGGAAAAAAAAAACCCCAAAAAACCCCCCCCGGGCCCCCAAACCCCCACCCCCAAACCCCAAAAAAAAAACCCTTTCCCCGAAAATTTAACCCCCCCCCCCAAAAAAACCCAAAAAAATTTCCCGGCCCCAGCCCCCCCCAAAAAAAAACCCCCCAAAGGGAAAAAAACCCCAAAAAAAACCAGCCCCCCCCCCCCAAAATTCCCCCCCAAATTAAAAAATTCCCAAAAAAAATTGGGTTTTTTTAAAACCGGGAAAAAAGGTTTTTTTTTTTGGGGGTTTTTTAAAAGGGGGGAAAAAAAAAGGGGGAAAAAAAAAAATTTTCCGGGGGCCCCCCCAAAACCCCCTTTTCCCCGGATTTCCCCCTTCCCCCCCCGGGAAATTTCCCTTCAAACCCTTTTTTGGGAAATTGGGGAAAAAATTTTTTTCCCCCCCGGGTTTTAAAGGGCCTTCGGGGGGTTTAAAAGGGTTCCCCGGGGGGGGTTTTTTGGGCCCCCAAAAAAGGGGGCCAAAACCCCCCAAAAAAGGGCCCCGGTTTTTTAAATTTTTCCCCCAAAACCCCCAATTTTTTCCCCCCCAAAAATGTCTCCAAAGGGAAACCCTACATTGTTTGAAAAAAGGAAATGAAAACATCAAAACTATGAAAAAACATATGGAATCATGTAGGGAACCAAAAAATTTTTTTAAAAAAATCACAATTATTTTATAAGACATGTGAGCGTTCCCCGGTGCCCAAAACCCAATTCCATCCCCGGGGCCGGGGTAAAAGACTTTCAAGCGGGTTTCCCCAATGTCTACGTTTAGGGAAAAGGGAAAACGGTTCTGTTGGTAGTCCATGTGGGTTTTAATGACATTATGAAGAACAGCTCTGAACAGTTGAAATTTGATTTTAAAGAGCTGATTGACTCTCTGCTAGACACTAACAAAAAATAAACATATCTGGCCCTGTGTCCTCTCTGAATCGTGGCATTGAACGCTTTAGCAGGATTCTTTCTCTTCACAACTGGCTACGTGATTATTGCAGCTTAATGGGTGTAACTTTTGTTGATCATTTCGATACCTTTTGGAAACAAAACACATTTTATAAGGAGGATGGGATCCACCCCAATCATTTGGGTTCCTGGATCCTTTCACAGCATTATAAGGCTGCATTGAGACAATGACTTATGAATGACCCAAGCCCAGTTTAGCTAATCCCTACCATTGTGACACAGAGTTGTCAAAATGCTTCAGCAAATGTACATTACAACAGGGGCGTCGGTAGACACAATATAAGTAACCTAATGTATGTCCCTCTAACTGCCCTGAATGCCTCTGCTGATCCTACAGCTATTGGATGAGGTAATCATGTGTCTAATAACCAGATTAATACTGTTAGCACTAAGCATTGTATTCTGTAAAGTGAGTGTGGAAGATGTGAAGAAAATAATGTTGTCTATCAACAATGACAAGCCAACTGGGATCTGACAAATTGGATGGAAAATTACTGAGGATAATAGTGGACAATATTGCCACTCCTATTTGCCACATTTTCAACATAAGCCCACTAGAATGTGTTTGCCCCCAGGCTTGGAGGGAAGCAAAAGTCATTCCGCTACCTAAGAATAGTAAAGCCCCCTTTACTGGCTCAAATAGCAGACCAATCAGTCTGTTACCAACCCTTAGTAAACTATTGGAAAAAATTGTGTTTGACCAGATACAATGCTATTTTACAGTAAACAAATTGACTACAAACTTTCAGCATGCTTATAGAGAAGGACGTTCGGCACTTACACAACTGAATGATGATTGGCTGAGAGACATTGATGATGAAAAGACTGTGGGGGCTGTTTTGTTAGACTTCCTTGCGGCTTTTGACATTATCAATCATAGTCTGCTGCTGTAAAAACGTAAGTGTTATGGCTTTACACCCCCTGCTATATTGTGTATAAAGAGTTACCTGTCTAACAGAACACAGAGGGTGTTATTTAATGGAAGCCTCTCCAACATACTCCAGGTAGAGTCAGGAATTCCCCAGGGCAGCTGTCTAGGCCCCTTACTTTTTTAAATCTTTATTAATGACATGATACTGGCTTTGAGTAAAGCCAGAGTGTCTATTTCTGTCTATACTTTAAGACATGAAGGTCAGTCAATCCGGAAAATGTCAAGAACTTTGAAAGATTTTTCAAGTGCAGTCGCAAAAACAATCAAACGCTATGATGAAACTGGCTCTCCTGAAGACTGCCACAGGAAAGGAAGAGCCAGAGTTACCTCAGCTGCAGAGGATAAGTTCATTAGAGTTAACTGCACCTCAGAATGCAGCCCAAATAAATGCTTCACAGAGTTCAAGTAACAGACACATCTCAACATCAAACTGTTCAGAGGAGACTGCGTGAATCAGGCCTTCATGGTCGAATTGCTGCAAAGAAACCACTACTAAAGGACACCAATAAGAAGAAGAGACTTGCTTGGGATAAGAAACACGAGCAATGGGCATTAGACTGGTGGAAATCTGTCCTTTGGTCTGATGAGTCCAAATTGGAGATTTTTGGTTCCAACCGCCATGTCTTTGTGAGACGCAGAGTAGGTGAACGGATGATCTCCGCATGTGTGGTTCCCACCGTGAAGCATGGAGGAGGAGGTGTGATGGTGCTTTGCTGGTGACACTGTCAGTGATTTATTTAGAATTCAATGCACACTTAACCAGCATGGCTACCCCAGCATTCGCAGCGACACGCCATCCCATCTGGTTTGCGCTTAGTGGGACTATCATTTGTTTTTCAACAGGACAATGACCCAACACACCTCCAGGCTTTGTAAGGGCTATTTGACCAAGGAGTGATGGAGTGCTGCATCAGATGACCTGGCCTCCACAATCCCCTGACCTCAACCCAATTGAGATGGTTTGGAATGAGTTGGACTGCAGAGTGAAGGAAAAGCAGCCAACAAGTGCTCAGCATATGTGGGAACTCCTTCAAGACTGTTGGAAAAGAATTCCAGGTGAAGCTGGTTGAGAGAATGCCAAGAGTGTACAAAGCTGTCAAGGCAAAGGGTGGCTACTTTGAAGAATCTAAAATCTAAAATATATATTTGGATTTGTTTAACACTTTTTTGGTTACTACATGATTCCATATGTGTTATTTCATAGTTTTGATGTCTTCACTATTATTCTACAATGTAGAAAATAGTAAAAATAAAGAAAAACCCTGGAATGAATAGGTGTGTCCAAACTTTTGACTGGTACTGTATATATATTTTTTACACATATTTAAACCCTTATTTTTGTTGCCACATAACTACCTCCATACTTCCATTTGTTTCCATGGGTTACTTTCAGATGAGTCCTGTGAAACTTGTGGTGGTCATAGAGCAAAACAGAACACCATCGTGTTCATGAGACTCTCCCCTTTCCATAGAGTGGTCAATCCATAGGCCAAACCGAGCGGACGCTATAGACGTTTTCATGAGAAAACCAATTTCCGGGATGTCTCATGGTCTGACAAACACCGCTGTAGCTCGGCCACCTTCCACCGCAGATGGCCGACATACACAGATATCTCTAGCTTAAACTGACAGATTTTTATTATACTACTTAGATTGAGACACAGGTGCATCAATAGACATAAGGATTATGAGCATATGTGACCGGCCGGCTCGATTCGGTCTTATGTAGCAACATTTGAAATTGTGTTTTTTACATTGGATAAAAGTAGAGACTCAGAGCTAGAAAATGGTATATCATACACTACAATTGAGGAACAATGGGAAAGTAATTCTGCTTTGAAAGTTGATAAACTTGTAACCTCACTTTTGAGAAAATGGCCTTTGAATGTTTTGGTACACCAACTGGAGACCTCTTCTTTGTCTACACCCATTCAGCATCGTTCACACCCTCTTAAGCTTAGCTTAGCCCCACCCATCTCTTTAAGGGTTGTTCCGAGCGTTCTGTCCTAACAAGAGCAGTCAAGCACCCAAGCTATCTGGCTAACGTTGGAAAGCTTGCTAGCTACTTCCAGACACAAATGAGTACAGCTCACTCTGACCATTTTACTCGCCCTAGCAGAGCTGGTTAGGCTGTTTCTATGTTATCCAAAGCGTTGGTGACTGCAACTGTGCTGCTGGCAACAATTCACACTTTTTTGCCAACGTTTACTGACACCGGACAAATTCAAAAGGTGTTGAGCATTCGTAAATTAGTCAGTTATTCTGTGCTCTGGCACACTCAAACGAGAATGCTCTGAAATCGGAGTAGATAGCCAAAGGGAATTTACCAGCTACGTCTATCAACAGTTGTCGCTGTGACATCATTAACATTCTATTGAAATGCTTACTTGCATAGTGGAGTCTTTTGTTAAGACATGTAGCTAGCTAGCTAAACAATGAACCATAATCCTAACTCATGACGTTACTACCCTGCATGAATCTGCAGGTAGCTAACCAATCAGGTTCAATGTTAGCTAGCTAACATTAGGCTATAACTAGGAATACAAATGGCTCTGAGATACGAATAATATTACTACACAGATCATACACGTAACATTAGCTAGCTGACCTAACAACAGCAGTCAAGCACCCAAGCTAATTGGCTAACGTTGGCTAGCTTGCTAGCTACTTCCAGACACAAATGAGAGAACAGCTCACTGTGACCATTTTACACGCCCTGTTGAAATGGATACTTGCATAGTGAAGTCTTTTGTTAAGACATGTAGCTAGCTAGCTAAACAATGAACCATAATCCCAACTCATGACATTACTCCCCTGCATGAATCTGTAGGTAGCTAACCAACCAGGTTCAATGTTAGCTAGCTAACATTAGGCTATAACTAGGAATGCAAATGACTCTGAGATACAAATAATATTACTACACAGATCATACACGTAATGTTAGCTAGTGAGCCAGCTAACATTAGCTAGCTACACTTTAACTTGAAATGAAAACAAATTTCTGACAAAATTAGAAACGTGTAATATCTGAAAATGTAGCTAGCTAGACAATCTTACCCATTTACATGGATGAACGCTTCTCCCTCTCTGTCACGGATGCCATGGTTGCCCTTAGTTTGAAGATGTAATCCGGAGACAGGTGTTTTCTCCATCTCCTTAGCTATCATACTCTAATTCCACTGATTTCAAAACTCGGTCGTCCAGAAAGTTGAGAGCAACACTTATGCAGTTCTACTAAGCAATATATATTTTTTAAAAGCCGCATTAGACAGGATTACCTACACATACTGACCAGCTCAAATAGACAGAAGCGTGCTATATGGCAGACCAATCCGAACTCATCTCTCTGCATGTCCAGCCCATTCATTATCTCAGCCAATCATGGCTAGCGAGAAGGTTGCTGTCTTTTTCTGTGGCTAAACCAACTAGGCTCGTAATTTAACAATTTTATTCGTATTTACAGATGGCATACAAGTTTGTTATTAAGGCACATGAAAGTTCACATGTTCCAGATGGCATTTCTGCCAAAAAACACGTTTAGATTTTTTAAAAACAGTTTATGTTCAAATGGCTCTCCTGTGAAGTAGTGACGTCCGACACACTGAAACGAGTCACACAGTTACTCCAGACATACAAGTCACCAGTCAGTCACATATCTATGTCAACACAACGTAGTAAAGAAAACCCTTAACACATAAACTACTACTACAGTTATCTTTAGTAGTATTAGACCAACAGTAACCTCACTTAATTTCACTTCACCACATGAAGGCTGTTACAGCTGAGATATGAGTTAATCACACGGAAAGACTATATTCACATCACTTCACCACACCAAGACTGTTACAGCCAGGATATGAGTTAATCACGCAGATAGATTATAAATGATCAAACAGCAGAGGAGAGGAGCAGTAGAGATGGTTTCCATGGTGCCTTCTACAGTAGAGATGGTTACCATGGTGCCTTCTACAGTAGAGATGGTTACCATGGTGCCTTCTACAGTAGAGAGATGGTTACCATGGTGCCTTCTACAGTAGAGAGATGGTTACCATGGTGCCTTCTACAGTAGAGAGATGGTTACCATGGTGCCTTCTACAGTAGAGAGATGGTTACCATGGTGCCTTCTACAGTAGAGAGATGGTTACCATGGTGCCTTCTACAGTAGAGAGATGGTTACCATGGTGCCTTCTACAGTAGAGAGATGGTTACCATGGTGCCTTCTACAGTAGAGATGGTTACCATGGTGCCTTCTACAGTAGAGAGATGGTTACCATGGTGCCTTCTACAGTAGAGAGATGGTTACCATGGTGCCTTCTACAGTAGAGATGGTTACCATGGTGCCTTCTACAGTAGAGAGATGGTTACCATGGTGCCTTCTACAGTAGAGAGATGGTTACCATGGTGCCTTCTACAGTAGAGAGATGGTTACCATGGTGCCTTCTACGGTAGAGGACATATTATGGGATCCATGCTCGTGCTGTGATACAGTCCTCCTCTCTTCCTCTCTTCCTCTCCTCCTCTCCTCTCCTCCTCCTTTTCTTACCCTGTGGTGCTGTGCTGGCTCCTCTTGTGAGCAGCGTATGACAGCTGACTAAAAGAGGAGCGAGAACTGTGATGGCTGATGCTCTCATGCTGCTGTTTCTTGTCACTGTGGTGGTGGTGTTTCACATGGACCGATCCAGACATCCTGACTGGCTGGCTGATAAGTTCAGACTCGAGGCTCCCCGCCACACGCTAAGTTCAATCAGAACGGGATCTGTATCTATTCAGTGTAAATACATCTGTAAAACAATCTGATTATGGTTATGATGGGGTTATGTTATAGAGGGAGTCAAGTCGGTTTAGTTAAAACTTGTAGTTAAATATGTCAATTTATGATTAAATGGTTTTAATTTATATTATTATTAGACAACTAAATATAAGGTATTATAGTTAATAAAAATACAATAGTTATACATTAGTTCACAATGTATTAAAATGAAAAAGCTGTTATTAGAAGAATCTGATTAGAATAGAGCAAGTTTACAATTCATTTCATCTTTACTATTAGGCTATAATGTCTTTAACGAATTGACTTCTTCTCCTTCTCCTACTCCAGCCTAACAATCACTTCAGTCTTCAGTTTTGAGACTGGAAACTGATAGACTACATCTCGCAGACTAAAGTTCCAGAGCAGATTTTGAGCAGACTGACACTGGACAGGGTGAGCCCCGTCAGGTGTCATGGCCGGGATAGGCCTACCCAGGGTGAGTAAGGGATAGGCCTACCCAGGGTGAGTAAGGGATAGGCCTACCCAGGGTGAGTATGGATATAGATAGGCCTACCCAGGGTGAGTAGGGATATAGATAGGCCTACCCAGGGTGAGTAAGGGATATAGATAGGCCTACCCAGGGTGAGTAAGGGATATAGATAGGCCTACCCAGGGTGAGTAAGGGATAGGCCTACCCAGGGTGAGTATGGATATACAGTGGGGGAAAAAAGTATTTAGTCAGCCACCAATTGTGCAAGTTCTCCCACTTAAAAAGATGAGAGGCCTGTAATTTTCATCATAGGTACACGTCAACTATGATAGACAAATTGAGAAGAAAAAAATCCAGAAAATCACATTGTAGGATTTTTTATGAATTTATTTGCAAATTATGGTGGAAAATAAGTATTTGGTCACCTACAAACAAGCAAGATTTCTGGCTCTCACAGACCTGTAACAACTTCTTTAAGAGGCTCCTCTGTCCTCCACTCGTTACCTGTATTAATGGCACCTGTTTGAACTTGTTATCAGTATAAAAGACACCTGTCCACAACCTCAAACAGTCACACTCCAAACTCCACTATGGCCAAGACCAAAGAGCTGTCAAAGGACACCAGAAACAAAATTGTAGACCTGCACCAGGCTGGGAAGACTGAATCTGCAATAGGTAAGCAGCTTGGTTTGAAGAAATCAACTGTGGGAGCAATTATTAGGAAATGGAAGACATACAAGACCACTGATAATCTCCCTCGATCTGGGGCTCCACGCAAGATCTCACCCCGTGGGGTCAAAATGATCACAAAAATCCCAGAACCACACGGGGGGACCTAGTGAATGACCTGCAGAGAGCTGGGACCAAAGTAACAAAGCCTACCATCAGTAACACACTACGCCGCCAGGGACTCAACTCCTGCAGTGCCAGACGTGTCCCCCTGCTTAAGCCAGTACATGTCCAGGCCCGTCTGAAGTTTGCTAGAGTGCATTTGGATGATCCAGAAGAGGATTGGGAGAATGTCATATGGTCAGATGAAACCAAAATAGAACTTTTTGGTAAAAACTCAACTCGTCGTGTTTGGAGGACAAAGAATGCTGAGTTGCATCCAAAGAACACCATACCTACTGTGAAGCATGGGGGTGGAAACATCATGCTTTGGGGCTGTTTTTCTGCAAAGGGACCAGGACGACTGATCCGTGTAAAGGAAAGAATGAATGGGGCCATGTATCGTGAGATTTTGAGTGAAAACCTCCTTCCATCAGCAAGGGCATTGAAGATGAAACGTGGCTGGGTCTTTCAGCATGACAATGATCCCAAACACACCGCCCGGGCAACGAAGGAGTGGCTTCGTAAGAAGCATTTCAAGGTCCTGGAGTGGCCTAGCCAGTCTCCAGATCTCAACCCCATAGAAAATCTTTGGAGGGAGTTGAAAGTCTGTGTTGCCCAGCGACAGCCCCAAAACATTACTGCTCTAGAGGAGATCTGCATGGAGGAATGGGCCAAAATACCAGCAACAGTGTGTGAAAACCTTGTGAAGACTTACAGAAAACGTTTGACCTGTGTCATTGCCAACAAAGGGTATATAACAAAGTATTGAGAAACTTTTGTTATTGACCAAATACTTAATTTCCACCATAATTTGCAAATAAATTCATTAAAAATCCTACAATGTGATTTTCTGGATTTTTTTTCCTCATTTTGTCTGTCATAGTTGACGTGTACCTATGATGAAAATTACAGGCCTCTCTCATCTTTTTAAGTGGGAGAACTTGCACAATTGGTGGCTGACTAAATACTTTTTTTCCCCCACTGTACATAGGCCTACCCAGGGTGAGTAAGGGATAGGCCTACCCAGGGTGAGTAAGGGATAGGCCTACCCAGGGTGAGTATGGATATAGATAGGCCTACCCAGGGTGAGTATGGACATTGGTAGACCTATGCTCTGGTAGTAAGCCTATGGGAAACTGGGTGATGTGCTCCTCTAGCATTTTATTTAATACATTGTTCATTTGATTCTTGACAAACAAAACAAAAGAGCATTGGGGAACTATATCAAATCAAATCAAAGTCATACATAGACCCCATCATCTGCTGTCAATAGTAGACAACCCATGATCACATCATTAGAGATATTCCAGAAATACTGTGAGAGGTCTGTCTGTCTGTCTGACAGTACGCTACACTTCCACACACTGCTAGCTGATGAAATGAATGGACATCTATCAAAGCATGTTACAATGCAATGTAAAGAAGGCTCTACATTCCACTATAGTTTACATGTCTTAAAGACATGCTCCGGTACTTTGGCGACTAAGAAAGTATTTTTTTAAACCTCTCACTTTGGGCTGGATGTGTCGGTGTATTTCATAGATGCATAATCTATGACCAGAATTACTGTCTTACCTCAATTAGCCACGAAATCCCTAGTTACAAAGCAACTGTTTTCTTGAAGCTGTGCCGGTGCCATTTTCTCTACATTTCCCCCCACGTGGGCCAGCCCCCTAGCAGTTTGAGTTCTAACCAATGAGCTTCAGCCCCTCACATTTGAGTGACAGCTAGTAAGAGGCCTGCCCAGCGTTATCCAATGAGGTTGCAGGGCGGGCCATGACGTGGTGCACACATGTGACGTAGTACACCATTTTCGGGACCCACCTTTGGCTCGTGGGCGCTACTTTCAGAACTACTGCCTAAAAAGTACCAGAGAATCTCTTCACGATGTCTAAAGATGTTACGTAATATGACTTATGGTCGGCCACTGGGGCCCTTATTCTAAAATTAGGTATCCATGCGCTATTCAACTGCAAATATGAACCCAGTCTTAGTACCATTATGAGAGTTAGTCAATTAAAAAATATGAACATTAAATTAATACATTGGGAGGTAAGTTAGTTTCCTCAGAATTGTTATGTTAGCTACATTCATCAAATAAAAACAATACCCTGACTACCAAGCAGTAGTGAAGGTGGCATTAATGTAACTCATTTAATAACTTTCCTAAGGCTTAAATTATATACATTCAGGCCTATGGTAATAAATATGGTAATCAATAGCCAATGGGGTAGCCATGCTGACAATATATACAAAATATATATTTGAGTTCTATCTCATTATACAAAATATATATTTGAGTTTTATTTCATTATACAAAAGCACATGAATTAAAAACATTTGCACTCACCAAACCTGAAAATCTTTCAATCGTTGAAACCAACAGGACAAGGGGTGCAACTCCAAAAGTATCCAAAGCAAGTCCTAAACCAGGCAGAACAGCAAGGGGAGTGGAGGGGACAGGACGAGCAGCGGCCACAGAACTAAAATAATGGTGCCACTCGGCAGAATGCTGAAGACACTGTCAGGACCTTTTAAGGGACCACCATCGGGGGGCACGGTAAATATAGCAGAGAGAGGGGGAGGGAGAGAGGGGGAGGGAGAGAGAGAGAGACACAAGCTCAATTCCTCAAACCGCTGAGCTGCACACAGTTTGTGGGACACTATCAGGTTAGCGTTTTCCATCATGAATCTTGCTCTGGAGGCAGTTCTGCCGGGTGGTCACTAGCTGGCACAACCACAAAGTCATAACATCTGATTTTAAACCTAACGCTAACCACACTGCTAACCCTAATGCCTAACCCTAACCTTAAATTAAGACCAAAAAGCTCATATTTGTTTTAATGAATTCTTACAATAAAGACAATTTTAACTTTTGCAGCTGGCCTTTCTAGCGGAAATCACTCAGTTCTGCCTTCAGGACAATACTTATCCCAATAAACGTCAACCTGCAACTGACATTGGTTCATTATGAATGCATCCGATTCTTGTCTCGTTAGCGATTGAGGGGAACCATCGGAGGGGGGCTTAGTTTAATTTATTTTCACCAAAGAAAACAATTGATAAACAACAATACAGATAAAAACTAATAAATAAACGGTGTGCAGGTGTAGTTGGAAGCCCAGGGGCTTGTATAAAAACCACACCACAAAAAAAACTATATGCAATACATAAGTACAAAAATAAAAAGGTTTGTTAAAACAGATAACAAAACCTACTAATCATAAATGAATTGATCAGTAATCACGAAAAAAAAAGAACAGTATTTGTTTTGTTTAAATGTGTGCATGTGAATGTGTGAGAGTTGGGCTATATGGAGGAGATTACTGAGAAGTTTGGTTCATCAGGCTGACCCCCAATCTTCGCTTGAAGTTATTGAGGGATGATGATCAATGTTCCCTCTAGCTAAGAGACTGCCGCGCAGAAATATCAACCCACTGAGAGAAGCATGAGATTCAATTTCACTCAACATTCTAGAGCAGTGGGTCACCAACCGGTCGATCGCGAAACGCATTCCTAGTCCATCGCCAAACATTTCTGTAAAAACCCCAACGATAAAGCCTTGTGTTCCTATTTTTTTTGTATTAGTCTCCGGGCTGTTGCCGGCAGGTGCAC